ATTAATGATTGTAATTATCAAGTCTAATTTTTAAATTTATAATAATATTACTCTTTTTTCATATTCTAATTAAATGTTTTTAGGAAGAGAGAGTAGAGGGCAAGAGACGTATGAGAGAGGAGAGAGAATATTTTTTATGAGTAATATTATTTAGACCTAAAAATTTGACATAATTTACTGATATAATGATGTGACTTCATAGAAATTATTGAATTAATAACAAATTACAATGTTTGATGTGGCTTACAGTTAATCTAATGTCACAATAAATTAACAGTAAATTAAATTAATAAATTATGTCCAACTAACATTGCTCATTTTTTATATAGGAAAGTAAATTTCATACAATAATGATACAATTTTAATTTATTGAGTCATTTTTCTAAAGACTTCTCTTTCATTATTAGTGACATAAAAAAAATATGAAAAAAAATGTTATTTGAATTTAATTTGGAGATCTCATCTCGAAATCTAATTCAAAGTAACCATTAGACTGGAAGTCATTTTCACATGTCACAATTAATTTAATAGCTGCATTAAATTAGGTCTTCGATTGGGTCTCAAAATTAAGTCGGTTAACCTAAAAGGGAGGGTTTCATTAACTAATATTAATGAGAATTAACTCGTTCTCATTACCCATAATAATGGAAGTTAATGTGATGTGTACACTATATAGATCGTTGCGTTGACGTTTTGTTACTCATTTTTCCAAATAGATGTACTTTCCCACACCTACCATGCTCTCGAGAAAATTATGCTGTGTCACAGTGGGTCCAAAGTATAATTAATTAAAGATTATGGTTTTTAATGACTTTTGTGTGGTTCAGTCCACCAAAATTCTACGCTCATAATGATTGACCATGATGTGTCGCGCTCATACCATTTGCCTATTGTAAATGGAAAATCATGTTCTACTCGAGTTGGACTCAAATTAGTACAAAACATAATTGTTCTATCTTTAATCGAATCAAAGAAATAATTAATTAAAACATGCGTAACTTAGTCCAGACATCTCTAAGCATTAAACTGAAAAATAATTAGTACAAGACGGACTCGAATTGTGTTCGGATTAACCCGTCTACAAAATGCAAGCTCGTCGCCGCTGGAGGGCGTAGCACCAACATATTTTTGCTTCACATGTAGAGATATTAAGCCCAAGGTGATTTGAGTATAGCATCAAGCTTTTACGGGCTACGGGCTTGCTTAAATTAAGAGAACGATTCTGTTTTTGATTGGGCCAAATCCAGCAACAGCTTGGGCAGCTGTTCTTGTTTGGGCCAAATCCAACAACAACTCGGGCTTTCCAGGCCCTTTCGAAGTCCTTGTCATAACACATATTTTTTTTTAGGGAAAATTGTGTAAAAGTACACTTTATCCTACTTATTTGTGTAAGAGTACATCAATATAAAATATTTGTACATAAGTACCTTTATGTGTAAATGTTTGGTGAAAAAGTACATTTTTGCAGAGTTGTAATTTTTTTTCTTACGAAATTGTCATTTTCCTTTATTAGTGGGAGACAAATATGACAGTTATATTAAAGATTCAATTTCTTAAATTTATGGAATATCATTTTTGAATTTTAAATTATATTTTTCTCTTTCATTCAACTTAAGTTATTCAAACTTTCATTTTTATTCAAACATTCATGTATTTTCTTTTTCATATTTGTATAATTTTTTTTTTAAATCGTAATAATCAAGATGAAGATTTTGATTCGGAGGATGATTTGCTGCCTCGCACGATAATGTTACAGTGTTATAAGACAATATCACACTAGTACTAGAAAATGTCATACTGCTACAAATCAAATTTACACTACTACAATGTCGTCCATTTAAAAAAAAAAAAATCATTGCGGTCTCTTAATGTCAATAACGTTCATCTGAGGATAAATGTCAATGATGATGACTCAAATGAGGATGATCGTAATAATCAAGATGATGATTCTGATTTAGATGATGATTTGCTGCTTCGCACGATAATGTCACAGTGCTACAAGATAATATTACAATGGTGTTAAAAAATGTCACAGTGTTACAAACCAAATTCACACTGCTAGAAACCAATGTCACATTGCATATATTGACATGACACATATCACAATGTATATAGCCTCTCTTTTTTTTTTTTTTAGCAAATGATCGAACACTTGGTGTGCATGTGCATGTAGTAACAAACACTAGAAGTCGAAAGGTAATTGAGAAAAAAAAAAGTAAATAAAATAAAAATGTTTGGAGAAACAACATTTTTCTTGAGTTATCAACTTCTTTTTCAAAAAATTCAACCACTCTTATCCTTCTGCTACAGTCACTCCCATTCAAACCCTTATCTAAATTGTTTTCACCCAGATGGACCCTTTACTGAAACCACTTTGCCCTTTAATGTAACCAAAAGATGTTAATGAATCGGATTCCAATCCATATTTAAGATCGTGTGATTGAGTTGGTTCTTCGTTGCTAAAAAAATTTATAACCACTCTCATCTTTCTGCTATAAAGGTGAAGATTTGGATAGTGAAGTTTTAAAAAGATCCTTTATTCAACAACGATTAACAGAAAGTTTTGAACATCTAAAAGGAAGTTTTATGCAAGTTTTTGGAAGAATGGAGTTTCCAACGATATTGAAGGAATTTATGTGTAACTGTTGAGATTCCTTAAGTTTCGATTGTAGAAACAAAAATAGAGAAATCGGTTCTCATTCTACTGAAGAAGGTATTTTAAAGATTTGTTAGAGGTTGTATATTTTTTTGACCTATATTTTTAAAAATAGTACTTTTTGCCTTATAATTTCTAAAAATGGTACCGGCCCCCTTAAAACTCTTTTTTTTTTGGAAGTCTTTTTCTCAACAACAAAAAAAAAGAACATATTGTAATTAGTACGTTACGTCCAGGAGGCTAGGAGTGCAACTTGGGTTGGGTAACCCGAGCCCAACTTGAAAAAATTAGGGTTTTGACAAGGGTTTTTAATATTTTGGTTGGCTTGGGTCAAAAAACTCCAACCCGAATTCAATTTGAATTGGGCTCGGGTTGAGGCCTCGTGAATCTGAGTTCAACCCGAACTCGAAATATTAAAAAAAAAAAATATATATATATATATTGGTTTTTCATTTTTGTTCTATCGTTTTTTGTTTCTCTTGTTCTCTTTGTTTCTTTCGTTAAAAACTTGGTTGAAGTTATTGATTGTTAATTTATGTAAATATTATATAATATATGTATTAGATTTAGAACAACAAACCTATTTTGGACTCTACCTAAATTGAACTCAATATCAACTCGAAATCATCAATCTGAATTCAATCCGAGTCCGCTCGAATTAAACTCGGACAGTGCTCGGGTTGAGTTCTTCAACCCGAGGTAGGGTTAAAATTAAGATTAGAGTTATAATTAAAAATTATATACCTAAAATTAAATTAGGATAAATTGTCCAACCTATCCAAATTGTACCCGACAAGGGGCCACGGAAGCCGTCCTCCAAATAGATGGAATATTTCAAAGGCTTTTTGCTTTGACTTTCTATTTGTTTGAACAAAATTGATAGAAAAAACCTCCCCCAATGGCCAAACACATGAGATATTCACTTACCTAGATGCCAGCAATTCTGCCCAAAACTATCGATCTATAACAATTAAGTTTAATATTTGATGACGCAAATATCTCAAATTTAATATTTCACATATACTCTAAAAGTAATAAATTTTATTTTTCATGGAACATGTTATAAGCTCATTCGTGGTACGGCACAAGATGAATTTTCCTAAATATATAAACCTAGTGGGGTTGACTTGATCTCGTCGTACGACCATTAGTTAGCATAATATATGTGAATGTGACGATGACAGCTTCTTATAGCACTGATCCGGACCGGGATATACTAGACTGCACTGCCAAACAGGCACGCACTTCCCTAATCCTCACCTACAAATCTATTATATTTAATTTCTTTTAAGAATAAATACACTAAGACCCCTAAAATATGCCCTTTTTTTATGTTATTTTCTAAACTATCTATTTTCTCTCACCTTTAGTTATTATTATTTGAGTTTAAATTGTCAATGATTGAGACAATGCTTTAGTGGGAATAATTGTAAGAGACATCGACGATAAGGTAGTGGATGGTATAACCAAAACATGTACCAGCCATATTATGCTTGTATTCTGAAACAACAATAGTATGGCAAGCCTACCTTCTTGCATATACCCTACACCTACAATAGGCTACCATCAAGAGTGACTATTCTGAAGTTATTAGACTCAGTTCAATTGAAGAAGTACCTACCTGGGAAGTCAGCACCTTCTTTGAAGACATCAAGAACTTTGCCAGAAATCTTATAATCTGAAGTTTCGACACAAGCACAGAGCTGATAATAGGACAGTATCTATAATGACTAACCTTCTTTCTTTAAGTTTAGTTACCCACCACCCCGAGCTTTAAGACTTTCTTAAATTTTTTTCATGTTCAAAAAAAAAAAAAAAAAACAATTGAGACAATGTAAAACTCAAATCAATAACTGAACGTGTAATAGAGGAGGTTTAATGTGTAATATGAAAAAATTGATAGGATAGAGGAGATTTAAAATGAGAGGCATAATCTAAGTATACTTTTTATTTCTTAAAAGGAAAATTTTAATCCACAGATCCTATAATTAACTTCTTTCTCGTCTCTCTCTCTCTCTCACATCAAAGTCCAAACTTAACCGTCCTTTTCTAGTCTTCTCTTTCTCTTCACCTCCCCCACTTCCATTCTCTCCTCCTCTGAAAGACGAGCTCCCATCTATATTATCTTCACTTAGTAATACTATAATGCACGTACAGTCGTACACTCATCACCGACAAATCCAATTTGTTTCCAAACCTGTCTATCTTCCACAGTTCCACCCTTTCCAATCTCTAACCCTAGAACCCTACTCAATCATTCACCATCGCCAATATATATAGAAACTTATTGCTAAATAGATTGGGAGAGAGAGAGAGAGAGGGAATAGAACTAGCACAAACAGCCATGGCGGGTCCAAACCCACCATATTACAATTCAACTTCCAAATCCACCACTATCAACCCTCACTGGAAAAAAACCAAGCTTTATTCACTTGCTCTCATCACTGGACTGTGTTCCCTCGCGTACCTCCTTGGCGTCTGGCAACATGGCGGCGGCTCCATCACATCCATCACCGCCAACCTTGGTGCCTCCATCCCATGTACCATTTCCACCAAGAACTCTACCAAAACCCCTACAACCACAACATCAATATCAACCTCCACACAACCCCTAGACTTCGCCACCCACCACTCCCTCGATGACGGCGGTGCTGTCTCACTTCCCGACGAGATCATCAAAACCTACCCACCTTGTGACGTGAAGTACAGCGAATACACACCATGTGAGGACCCAGAAAGATCTCTGAAGTTTAACAGACGCCGGTTGAAATACAGAGAGAGGCATTGCCCTGAGAAGGGTGAACTACTGAAGTGCCGTGTACCTGCGCCTCACGGTTACATGAACCCATTCAAATGGCCAATGAGCAGGGATCTGGTGTGGTATGCCAATGTACCACACAAGGAATTGACGGTGGAGAAAGCGGTTCAGAACTGGATTAGATATGAAGAGGACCGGTTCAGATTCCCTGGTGGTGGGACCATGTTCCCCAACGGTGCTGATGCCTACATCGATGATATTGGCAAGTTGATCAATCTCAAAGATGGGTCTATTCGGACCGCCATTGATACTGGTTGTGGGGTAAGCTTAGTTTTTTTACGATATTTTCAATAGTGTTCCATGCATCTTTCATTGAACCGGCCGGTTTAGCTGGGTAATTGGATCCATTTACAGGAATTTTATGATTAATTTTCTTTGCTGATTAAATTTCTAAGAATTTTATGATTAATTAGATGCAGCAACTTTTTTATCACTAATCTGTGACACAATATCATCAATGTCACGTAGTGTCACTCTTAAATCTAATATTTTTTTCAAAAATATTACAAATTTAATTGATGTGTATAATTTATGAGTGATTTCAAATATATTAGTTACCGAAAGAAAGATACATTTTTTTATTGCCAACTTGCAATATGGTTTTGATATGAGTTTGTTTTTGGGTTCACTTGCTATTCTTTCTATAAAGTTTATTATTTTTTAGGTGTAACTTATTACTTTTTGGTTGTTTTTTATTTATTGGTATTGCATGGAAATTTTATTTTTCTGTCCTGCTTTATTTTCCTTTTGATATTGTAATTATGCAAAAAAAAAAATCTCAAACTTTCTCCGAAAAATCAGGGACAAGATTTGAGGATTTTCCAAAGATTTTGATATTTTGCGCAAGTTTATGGGTAGGAAATTTTTTTGCTAATAATGTGTAACTGCCTTTTTTAGATTGGTCTATAAATGTTTTTAGAAAATATTGTCTCAAATAAGTTATGTTGTTCCTCAAAATGACGTTGTTTTACACATGAAATGAGATCTTTATTGCATATACGCCGTTTCTTAAAATGACTTCATTTTAAGGAATACTGCCCTTGCTGTATGGCAGAATATCTGGATTCACTGAGATTCGTTTTGGCATTAATTATGGGTAATAAATTAGTGGGAGGCAGTAAGAAGAAAAAGCAATTAGTGAGATACTCAGAAACTGGACACCCACTTCTGTATCTCATGTCACTAGCAGTAGAACCCATTAAGTTTTCTGTCAACCACTTCATGCATTAATTTTGCCATTTAGGATCATACTGTGATTAGTATGTATTTATCGATGTGGGGTCGAGGATTTATCCTCATCATGCTAGATCGGTTTCACTAGATTTTATTTTGATTTTCTTTGAAATCAGTGGGACCCACAGTATGTAAACGGGTCCACCTATACACGAAGATTGGTGTAAAATGTATTGGATAGTATTCTTAACATTCTATAGTTAAGAAACTGTATTTTGCCATAATGCTGTTTATGTAGATGCAATGTGCTAATAGAAAAAAAAAACCTCCTTTCAAAGGTTTGCAAAATTCATGAGTTGTTTTAGGATTACACTATGGTATTGGAAAATGTTTCAGGTGTATATAATCATAGATCTTAGAACGATAAATAAAATAAAATAATGAAAAAAATTTGCGTGTCATCTCGTGATTGGATAAGAAAGAAGGTACAATACCAAGAAGTCGGAGCAATACTTGAGCATCCTTCGAATGTTCTTGGTAGAATGGGAAAAAAAGGATTGCAAAATTACTTTTAGTTCCATTTAGTGGACATCATTAAAAGCATAAATGGGAATTTTGTTTCCTATTTTTTAGTAGTGAAACTTTGTTTTCTTTACTTTGTACAATTTTATTGTGTCAGGTTGCAAGTTGGGGTGCTTATCTTCTCTCAAGAAACATCCTCACAATGTCGTTTGCACCGAGGGATACGCATGAAGCGCAGGTACAGTTTGCTCTGGAGAGAGGAGTTCCTGCTTTGATTGGTGTCATTGCATCCAAGAGGCTTCCTTATCCATCAAGAGCGTTCGACATGGCTCATTGCTCTCGTTGCCTCATTCCATGGGGCCAGTATGGTATTTCCATGACTCCTATCGCCTTATCGTATACATTACCATTGTGAAGATAGTGTTTCTTAACTTTGATGACCTCCAACTCTTTTACTATATAGTTGAAGTTAAAGATTGGTGTATTGTGGAATAGATGGCGTTTATTTGATTGAAGTTGATAGAGTTCTAAGGCCTGGTGGATATTGGATCCTCTCCGGTCCACCAATCAACTGGAAGAAACAATGGGGAGGATGGCAGAGAACGAAGGAGGATTTGAGTGATGAACAAACTGTTATTGAGAAAGTTGCTAAAAGCCTTTGCTGGAAGAAGTTGGTGGAGAAGGAGGGCATTGCCATATGGCAAAAGCCCACCAACCATATACATTGCAAAGCTAGCAGGAAGATTATCAAGAACCCGCCTTTCTGCCCTGCCCAAGATCCTGACAAGGCCTGGTTTGTGCTCTCCATCCAAAAAGTTAACTCGCGAATTTGAATACATATTGTTTGTTATATGCTTCATTCTCAAGCCTATATAACATGATGATTTTTCAGGTACACAAACTTGGGGAATTGTTTAACTCCCTTGCCAGAAGTTCCCAACATTCAAGAGGTTGCAGGTGGGGAATTGGAAAAATGGCCAGAGAGATTAAACGCGATCCCTCCTAGGATTAGTCGGGGAACTGTGAGAGGAGTTACAGCTGAGGTTTTCCAGAAAGATATTCTGGCATGGAACAGGAGGGTGTCTTATTATAAAACGGTGAACAATCAACTCGGGCAGGCAGGAAGGTACAGAAATCTTCTTGACATGAATGCATACTTGGGTGGATTTGCTGCTTCTCTGATTGAAGATCCAGTTTGGGTGATGAATGTTGTTCCTGTTGAGGCCAAGGTCAACACGCTTGGAGTTATTTATGAACGGGGATTAATTGGCACATACCAGAGCTGGTATGCTCTTACCTTATCTATTTATAAGTACATTATTTCAGGTTTGCAGCTTGTAATTGGTTTGGTACATTAGGTGTGAAGCGATGTCTACCTATCCTAGAACCTATGATCTCATTCATGCCGATTCAGTGTTTACCCTCTACAAAGACAGGTAATCAATCTCAACTTTTTTCTTGGTGATATTGTTGAGCAAAAGTCAATTCAGGGTCGTGACACTTAAAAAGACTCAATGGTACTGAATTCCTTGTAATTGTATGGAACTGTGTGAAACTTCATAATAACTAGCTTCTACTGTTTTTCTCTGCATTTTTGATTTACAGATGTGAAATGGAAGATATTCTACTTGAAATGGATAGAATTTTAAGGCCTGAAGGAAGCGTAATCTTCCGGGATGATGTAGATATTTTGGTTAAGGTGAAGAGGATTACAGATGGACTGAACTGGGATAGTCAGATTGTCGACCATGAAGATGGACCCCCACAGAGGGAGAAGCTTCTGTTTGCAGTGAAGTCATATTGGACTGCTCCTGCTACCTCTGATCAAGGAGGATCAAACACTTTTTAGATCCATTAATTTTTGCTTCTTTGATTTGATCTGTTTTTGTTGCAGATTTCATATTTATAAGGTTGGTTTTTTCCGGTGTTAGCTTCACCAATTCTTTTGTGAATTGTTTACAAACTAATTAAGCTAAATGAAGATCCATTATTATATTTGTTTCATAGTCTTTTTGCCACACCTTTTTCATTCCTTTTGCTTCCGATGTGTGATTACTATATGTGATATCTCAATACTATCTGCTGAAGGAATTGTGCATGGAACTTGCTTTCTCTGACTATTTAAGACCCCATTGAAATTGTGTTGAGCACCAAACTCAAATTAGGTGACTCATGTGAACTTTCCCACTCCCGATCCAGTAAGTATTTCTTCACTATAAGTAGAAGTGAAAAGTCATGCATTGGCAACAATATCAAACAATTGGGTGAACAGAAGCAGAAGAAAAAAAATTGCTAATGGCAGCCATGAAGCCTCTTGTTTCTCTCAGCTCTCTGGCCACATTGCTTGTCATGATCATCGCACTTGTGGTGCTGCAAACTCAAGTGGCTGAATCCCAGGCACAAACCTGCTCGGGCGAGCTCAGCAACCTCAATGTGTGTGCACCCTTTGTGATGCCTGGTACTGGTGCTAATGCTAACCCGTCCTCTGACTGCTGTGGTGCACTCCAAGCCGTGGACCATGACTGCCTTTGCAACACCATCAGGATTGCTTCTCGTCTTCCTTCTCAGTGCAACCTCCCTGCAGTCACTTGTGGTGCTTAGTTCTCTCTCTCTCAAACACACACTCATGCACACACACACACACACACTGATTCTCAAAGTTTCTTCAAAAATTCTAATAGTTGACAAATTTTCAATATGCAGGAAATTGAGCCCGGCCTGCAACTGATCCACAAATAATGTCTTTTGAGATCTTCTTTAATACTTCTCCTTAGAGATCTTTAGAGAAGGCTGCTGATCAAAAACTAGTGCTATGTAATGAAGGTCAGAGAAGAGTTCAATTTGATGAATAAAACAATTGATAGTTTCTGAGTATCTGTAAGTGTTCAGCTTTACTAATGGTACCCCATTACCAGCACCATCTCTCCCATTATCCATCTCAGTCGCCACACAGCCGATTGAATTTAAAGAAAATTCTGATGCTATCACGGTGAGGTGGTCACAAACAATGACAGTTCATCTAAGATTAAACTTCAAATGAGGCTGTCCAGTTGAATCCAATCCACCCATAATGAACTAATGAATCAACAGCCGATTCTCGGTATCATCCACATATATGCCAATCATATGTGCATTATAAAAAGAAAAAGAAGCGGGGATTATGAGATTTTTGCATACAGTTTTGCATTGCAGAAATGTTTGACTAAAGGGGCATCACTTGAGGGTGCACGTCGAATCTGACTTAATTCTGCAACTAAATTTTCATGGGCACTTACCTAATCAAATAAAACATACAGACAATAGAGTATGACTTTCTTGAACATTGTAAGAGAGAGAGAGAGAGAGCTGTGAAATACATTTCCAATGCTCGGCATTGTCATGCAGCTCATCTTATCTTAATAATAATATATATATTATACTGACCAAAAAAATAGAATAAAAAACAGAGATCAAATAATGTGACAGGTGACGTAATAAGTAAAACTGAAATTTTAACTGAACAAAAGTCGGGACCAAAAGCATCATCATTCCAATATTGTATCATTTGATCTTTATTTGTAATTTTTTTTTTTTTAAGTCCAACATTATGCATAGTTTATTGGTGGCGTCAATGCAAATAATTAGAGTGGTCGTAATTATTAATGGGTGGGTACAAATTAAGTGGACTTAATCAATAATAGATTGGATAGGATACTCTATTAGAGGGTGGCCATGGCTGCGCAGCCCAGCCCATCAGGCACAGAACAAGTATAATTGTCGCCCATGGGTTCGCTCGACCCGGCCCAATAACATAAATTTATGTTGTAATTCGCTGAATTACACATATTTACCCCCGTAGTATTTGAAATCCCACTAGTTCCGCCTCAATCTTTCTCCAAGGTTACGATCGACTCGAGACGACTAACGAACCCAGACGCAACCTCACCCCCCCCCCTCTCTCTCTCTCGTATTAATCCCTAATTTTCAGTCGGTAGTGTTGGAATTCTTTCAGGTACTCCTCAGTCACTACTATATTTATTCTGTGCTTAAGTTCTTGAATCTAAGAAATTTCTGTTTTTTATAGTTGCTTGGCAAAGTGAAATGATTTTTTTTTTTAAACTGTATAACTGTTCTGATAGAAAGTGATTATGGGCGTTGGAGTGATTGTTAATGGTTTTTCGATCTTCTATTGGGTAAGATTGACTTGTGGTATCTATCTCATTGTACATTTTTTGTTCCTGGGTGAATGGGTTATATATGTGTGAAATGTAGTATTGTTATCTACACTATGCTTATATGATAGTGCTACTAGATGGGGTAAAAACAGAATCACACTCATATAGAGCCTAAGTATAGGAGTTTAGGTATATTTTTCAGAAAAAAAAAAAAAAACTGTGTTTAGGTCATCTTGGAGCATGCTTGTCAAATAGCATTCAAGGACCATATGAGTATTAACTAGCGGTACTATAGGAGCCTGTTCTTTGGGAGAATTCTGGGGGACAACGGTTTACATAATATGATCTAGAATGGGGAGCAAAGTGAGAAAAAATTGGAAATCCGAGTTTTCATCACTTGGTGTTTTACTCATTCTTGCTCTTATGGTGAAGGTTAATGGATATGAACGATGATGATGTGGTTAGTCCTCGGGAGGAGGATACAGATATCGGACTCCAAGCATCAAATAAGTTGGACTTGAATGTGGAGCACGACTGCCGCAGCCCAAAAGCATCTGTTGTTAGTGCAACAACAGTGCAATCGAATCTTTCATCAAAAGATGAAGCGAATGTGGATGGTGTACTTAAAATTGGCATGGAGTTTAAGTCAGACGAACATGCATATGGATATTACACCAAATATGCTGGATTGGTAGGCTTTAGTGTTCGAAAGGACTGGGTCAATAGGAGTAAAGTACATGGTCAGGTGGTATCAAGAAAGTTCACCTGTTCTAGGCAAGGTTACCGGCGGAAAGACAAGCGAGATGCTAATGTGAAGAAACACCGAAAGGAAACTAGAACTGGCTGCTTGGCACATATGATAGTTACTCGACAACCTGATGGTAAATATCGCCTCACACATGTTGAAACAGACCACAATCATGGGAATGTAAATCCAAGCAATGCTCGGAAACTACAGGAATTACCATCACTGGGAATGGTAGATGATACTGAGGTTATTGAAGCTGACTCAGCAAATAGTTTGGAGATGCAGTCAAAACTGGCATTTCAATTGTTGGGTAGACAATTTGGTACTCCAGAGAATGTTGATTACCTTGCAATAAAGTATGAAAATCATCTAAAATCTGGGCGGACAAGAGATATGAAGGAGGGAGAGGCAGGACATTTGTTGTATCTTTTTCAAAGGCAACACTTCGAAAACCCTTCATTCTTTTACAGCTTACAACTTGATATTGATGATAAGATAACCAACATATTTTGGGCCGATGATAATATGGTAGTGGACTATGATCATTTTGGTGATGTGGTTTGTCTGGACACAACATATAGAACAAACAAAGATTTTCGGCCATTTGTGCAGTTCATAGGACTAAATCATCATAAACAAGTTGTGATCTTTGGTTCTGCACTTTTATATGATGAAACTGCCGAATCTCTCAAGTGGCTTTTCCGAGCTTTTATCGAGGCAATGTCTGGGAAGAAACCAAAAGTAATTCTCACTGATCAAGATGCAACAGTTATTCAAGCAGTTGATTCAGTGCTACCAGAAGCAAACCATCAGATATGTGTATGGCAGATGTACCAAAATGCACTTAAGCACCTTAGCCATTTAACAAAGGACGAGGATTCTTTTGCCAAAGATTTTAAGAGTTGCATTTTTAATCATGAGGATGAAGAGGATTTCACCCATGCCTGGGAGGCTATGTTAGACAAATATAATCTCCAGCAAAACGAGTGGTTACGATGGATGTTTAGAGAAAAGGAGAAGTGGGCTGTGGCATATGGCGGGAATACCTTCTTTGTTGGTAAGAATGGGGCCCATCTAGGTGAGATTTTACCTGACAACTTGAAAACTTGGTTGAACCATGACCTTGATGTGCTTCAGTTTTTCAAGCATTTTGAAAGTACAATAAATCAGCAACGCTACAAGGACCTAGAAGCTAGTTATGACATGGGTGCATCTACTCCAGCATTGATGGGAAATGTGATCTTGTTAAAGCATGCAAGCAGGATTTATACACAAAAGGCATTTGAAGTATTCCAGCGAGAATATGAGAAGAGTTTAAATGTTGTCGTCGACATATGCAGTCAGAATGATGCTTTGGTTGAGTACAAAGCTAACATGTTTGGGAAATCTAAAGAATTCCTTGTTACATTTAATTCTTTAAATGATACAGTTTCTTGTAGTTGTGTGAAGTTTGAGAATGTTGGGCTTCTTTGTTCCCATGCACTAAAAGTGCTTGATCATAGGAATATAAAGGTTGTCCCTTCACGCTATATCTTGAAGAGATGGACAAAAGATGCAAGGATAGATAATGCCAAAGAGTATTGTGGTTGTGCCCATAAACAGGACCCTAAGTTAATTACCGCAACACGTTATAAAGATCTGTGCCACAGCGTAATGAAAGTATCTGCCAGGGCTGCTGAATCTGACAAAGCATTTGAATTTGCAGCAAAGCAACTTGATGAAGTGATGAAAGGTGTAGAGAAAATCTTAACATCAAAACCGTCTGAGGAGGATCAAGCTATCACCTCAAGTAGCAAAGGTGCTAATGCTTCTGAAAGTGAACCAGCTTACGCTTTTCTTGATAGAAATGCAATTGAGCGTCAGGATGGCGACTACATCTTGAATGAGACTACTGAAACAGAAGGTACTGTTCCTGATAAACATGAAATGAATCATTCCGATGAAACAATGACATATACAAACGGACGTCAGAATGTGCAACCATCCCCACCAGATCCTGTCACATCCATCTCGTGCCCCCCTCCGGCATACATTTCATCTCCAACCCCAACATTAAATCCTCTTTCACAGGTAATACATTGGTCAGCTTTAATGAGTTGGTCCCAATTATTTGTATGATTGGCCTCTGGTATCTGATCAACTGTAACCGTATTCTGTTCCTTATATATTATGCAGGGGTTTTACAATTTTGAAGCACATCAGGTTGTTCAGTGCATGTACAAACCTCATAATTTAGCAATAGACCAACAAACAAATCCTAACATGTACCCATCACAAAATTTTTACTCTAACCAGCGTGATTCTTCTGGCCAAGATCAATTACTACAGGTAACTATTGTTGTACAGGTGATGATGACATTAAAATGTATTACAAATGCATTCTGTTTGATTGGACTTTTTAAACCTCTTGTTTTATTGTACAGGAATCTTTAGTTCGCTGCACATTTCAGGAGTCTATTTCAAATGACACGGAGTTGAGGCAGGTAAGATATTTGAGGTCAATCAGAGACTGTGAAATTGCTTATGCCTTTTGGAGAACAACGGATTGGATAGTAATAAATTGCTTCCTGGTTATGAGTTTGTAGGCAATGGATCTTGACGCCCAACATCCACATTCATCTTCTTACTTAAATGATGATCACAGCTGCAGAACTCCAGACACCCAGTATTTTGGGTCTAGATAGAGCAAGCAAATGACTATTCAGATCTTAACAATGTGTTCATTTGGTCCAGAGGGTTTTGGTGCTTCGATTATATCGCAAAGCAAGAAAATATGGAGCCGATGCAATGGCAACTGATACCGAGCAGTCTTTTATGCAGTATGCAGGCGCATGGTCAAGGTACTTTCTCTCTCTTCTTTTTTTCTCCTACCCTTTGAACTATATCAAGGCCATGAAATTGCCAAACTACTTCATTTTGCAGGTTTTCATTAGGTTCCTATTGCTGTAACATGGCAGGGGCTCACAAAATTCAGAAGAACAATCTGGCACGACAAGGTTGTTGTAGAATTTGATGGGAAATTTTGAGTAGGAATTCTCAAGGTTGTTGGTACTTCGAATGTTTAATTTTGGTTTTTGATGTTTGGAACTTGTACTTGATGCACCCGGACACGGGTTCGGTTGTTGAAGTGGTGATTGGAAAAACATATTCTAGCTTATTGAGATTCACCAATCTCTCTGTGAGTTGATGTTCAGTACCAGTTCTAGCATTTTTTTGGATTTGTATGATTTGGGAGGATACTGAACGCCTTGTATTTGAGGAGAGTTGTAAATGTTTCTAATTTCCCTTTTAACACTATAACAAAGATATTCCGAGTAAGGATGCATATATGGTACATACTTTTGTTTGGGTGCATGGTTTCAATCAGTTCAAAAATAGAAACGTTTTGATAATATTTCTCTGGAATAGATGTACGACTTGTTGGAAGTGCATTGCCTTTGAACCCTTGGAGGGTGCAGGTGGTCCAGGTCAAAAAGAGTAACAAATGTAACAAATTATTATTGTACAAACTATAAATGGTAGTTTAAATAGTAATAAAGAGATTTATTTTTATAAATATTTTAGTCTTAATTTTGACGTAGATGACCTCTCTTTGAATAGATTAAAAAAAATTAATTAAAATATACATAAATTAATTTCAATATTTCGACCGTTGAAAAAAAATTTATTATGTGCCATTGTTTGCAGAAAAGGGTTTGTTTGCATGGTTCATAAATATGCAAAACGGGCAGATCTTGGGAGAATAACCATTTCTTGGAAAACCACAAGTCAAGTGGCCGAAGGTGAAGTTCTCAACCTCACAGCCTCCCCCTAAAAAAAAATTTCCACTTTTTTTTTAAAAAACCCACAAAATAAATAAAAAAACTTCTGCAATGCCCAAAAGAGAGGAATATAGGATCTTTTTTTGATCAAACATGCAAAAAAACTCTCACACAGTACATCGAATAGCTCAAGTATCTTATTGGAAGAGAGGAATCCACAAAGTCAAATCATCCGAATAATTGGTGACCAAAGGAAGACAAAGCAAGTTACTTAAACTCACTCACTTAGTGTTGAACAACCAATGTAAAATAGAAATTTATTTTTTTTTGGTCAAGTATGCAAAGAAAGTTACACACACAGATCACATTAAACAGATCAAGCACTTTATTAGAAGAGAAAGATCTACAAAGCCAAACAATCTAGGCAATTACGGACTGAAAGAAGAGAGAACAGGCCACTTAAACTCATTCTCGATGTTTTTTTAACATAGGATGTTAAACCCTTGATTTTTTAACATTTATGATTTAGTTTTAATAAATTAAAGTGGATCCTCTGTGTGCCGTCGTGTGGAGGGAAGTTCTACCTGTCAAAGTCGTCCGCTTTAAACTTTGTGGTCCCACAGTCCACCACAACTACCATAAGATGACCAGCGCGTGTCCCTCAAGCTCCTAAAAATCGCGTCTGCTTTGTCCTCTCTCTCTACATATAATCTCTCACCCTCCATCCCCAGCTCCTCTCTGATACACAATCATTCTCTCTCTCCCTCTCTATCGAATGCTCTCGTCAGTAGGAACACAGTACCGGGCACCAAAAACTCTAGCAATGAACAATGGGTAAGACAACAAGGTGGTTCAAAGCTCTACTGGGCGCCAAAAAGTCACCCTCAGACTCGCCGGCGTCCAGTGTTTCAGATTCCCGGCAATCGAAGCATAAGAAGAAGTGGGGTCCGTTCAAATCGTCCAATAGCAATGTCAGTGGCCCTTGTGGGACCGGAGGGTCCTCCATTGAGGTGTTGTCCTTGAGTCCGTACGTCGACGCTTTGGATGCCAATAAACATGCGATAGCTGTGGCGGCAGCGACGGCGGCTGTGGCTGAGGCCGCTCTAGCCGCTGCTCAGGCGGCGGCGGAAGTGGTGAGGCTGACGAGTGGTGGGACTGGTAGCAGAACCGCCTCGGCGTACGTTAGCGGCGGCTTTGACCGGTGGCGTGAATTGGCGGCCGTTAAAATTCAGTCGGCGTTTCGAGCTTATCTGGTGAGTGATAACTAAAACTTGCTTCCTTTTCCTAAACTGCCCTTTCGATTTTCTCAGAATTACGTGAATTAGCTTGGCTGATCTGGCAAATCTTGCGGTGTGTGTTTATTTAGTTCAGTAAATGCCATGTTTTTGCATGAATTTTTTGAATCATGACCCCATAAAAAAGGTTAATTTTTTTATTAGAATTTCTGAATTTCCGTGGGATTGAAGTAATAAAAAGATGGGTAAAACCAATAAAACACGGCCACTTTGTTGTTGACATATTCATATCGAAATACACACTAAATATATTTAATAATAAATAAAATAGATAGATATTTTGCAAATATTTTTATATGCAAAGAAGTGTGTGTAATTTTTAGTTTGAATCTTTACCCTTGTTTTTATTTCACAAAATATCTGCCCGATTGACGATTTCATTGATAGTTTCGATCATCTAAAAATGAAAACATTTTAGGAATGTGACGGAAGCGAAAAAAAGTTTGAAAATTTGTTTGTGAAAATTTTTAAAACATTGATTGAAATATACTAAAACACGCTGAACTTTGAAACATAGGAATTTCAATATTGAATCACTACTATTTTTAATAAAGACAAAAATGTTTCTGACGTTTTAATTAAAAAAAAGGTTTTAGTTCTTTGGGCCCAACACAGATTATCTTGGAATTGCAAAGATTGGGAGTGCTTAATCAGTGGTGTGGACTGTAGAGCATCAAAAAAAGTTACCTTTTAAAAGTGTTGACAAAGTGTGGTGGGTGCATTATATTGAAGCTTGTTTTCCACCAAATTCAACCTTAGTTTTGCTCTTGTAGAATATGTTGTATTACTGTCTGCATATAGGTAACAAATTCATGCTATGTGACCATATTTTTCCACCATGTTTGAATGAGAGGGACGAGACCCGAAAGGTTGAACTTGGATCGCGTTTTAGATAATTAATTTGACTCAGATGGGTTTTAGAGGATCGATTCCATTCCAAGTGTTAGGAAAAGAACTTGCTAAGCTTCATCCATTCTGTCTGTTAAAAACCAGTAATGCAATCAGTTTTAAACTTTTACTACCGGGCATGTCATCATCTTTATTAGCCAATGCAGTACATATGATATGTGTCTTCTTTAAGATGAAATTAATAAAAAAACATGCCTATTGTATTTGTGTTTACGATTTTGAATGAATATAAGATGCAAAAAGTTAGAAGTGGTACTTTTTACACGGCTACACGTCTTCCTACTTTATCCTATTTCTTATAATGTAAGATAGTGAGGTGGTTGTCGTTATTGTCATGCAATTTTTATGTACAACCTTGCAGTATGTGTGGAGTGTGATCATAAAGTAATAGGTGTAGCAAAAGAGAAAGTATGGTATCTATTATGCCATCAGATTATTGTTTCCAACCATGTGTATGTCGCACACGCGCGCGCGCACACACACACACCTGCCATTTTATTATTTTTCTTCACTTTTTTCTCTTTGCAAAGGTACTTTGGTCCGTATTTTATCTGAGGCTCAAGGCTATTTTAAAATTTTGTGGTGTGAAGTAATGATTTCATCCACTTACAGCTACCATTTCAAATTTCCATGCTAATCTGTCATATATTTCTTTGTACTTCTTGGACAGCAAAATTTATATTTCTTAAAGCAACCAATAATTAGTGTACGACAGGTCCGAAGAGCAATAATTAGCATATAACATGTCCTTAATTTTGATGGTGACGTATTATTAGCATTCATACGATGACCACTGGATGCTATCGATTAGACTGCATTGAAAAATATTTGTTTCTTTGATTTTCTGAGGGCATGCTGTAGGCTAGGAGAGCACTGAGGGCACTCAAGGGGTTGGTGAAGCTTCAGGCTCTTGTGAGAGGCCGCATTGTCAGAAAACAAAGTGCAGATATGCTCCGACGCATGCAGGCAATGGCGCGGATCCAGGCCCAAGCCTGTGCAAATCGAACTCACTTGTCAGAGTCCTCACATGCTAGCAGGAGGTCCTCACAATCCCATCATCATGTAAGCACACACCTCTTCCTCAATTAAAAACCATCATCAATAATGTTATTCATGTACAACTATGCTCAAAGATTTGAAAGATGATGCCTCGTTCGCCCAATCTAATGGGCTTACTGTTTATTTCCACAACTGTCTCAATGGCCTTGTGGTGAGACATATAGGACATCACATGAAGTTTCTAGCTCCAAAATACTGAGCATTGATCTTTGCATGTTTTCTTTTAGCATGACATGCAAAAAGAATTTAAAATAAGCTGCTGTGTGGCCATTTACAAGTTAATGGATATATATATATATATAGCGAGGATTAAAACAAAAGTGCACAAAGAAAGACATAAAGCTCATGGGAATTATATGAAGATGCATTAACATGTCAATATGGCTATTCATCTCTTTCACTTTTTGTCGTCAAGAGTGTTTTTCCTGTTATGACAAGTTTGCAAAACTTTGTTGTGTTTACTCCGCATCTAAGCAAATTATTTGCTCTCTACTTTACCTCCAGGACCTAGCAGCTTCCCAGAAATATGACCACCAATTTCGTTCATATGGTACCAAACTTGATGGATCCTCAATGCTAAAGGTACGAAATTGTTAAGCTGTTTGGTGCTTATGGTATATGGTAAATAATCCAATGCTAGATTATGGAGTTAGGGGACTCTGTATTCAGAGCTTGGAAAATATATGGCATTCTGAAATTGTACTATCAAATTTGATTAGGATATCTTGAATTTGAATCCTACAACATCGTTCTACGCTATCACAAACTAGTGAATACTGACCTATTCTTCCGATTGTTAAAAAATACAGAGATATGGTTCAAAATCAAGCATCAAGGACAGTGTCGGCCTATTGAGCTCTAATTGGTTAGACTGTTGGATGGAAGAAAATTCATGGAATATCCACAGAGACACTTCACCAAAGACTGGACGTATTGAAGATGAGAAGAGTGATAAAATCCTCGAAATAGATACTTGGAAGCCTCGCCTGAACTTGAAGCAAAGCGAAAGGGCCTCTCACACTTCGCAGTCCATTCCAGCTTGGCATCACAGTCAGCAAGAATTTTTAAAATTTGACACTCTAGCAAGGCAATCATCAAAGTCTCGTAAACCAAATCCCGCTCGTCCTTCTGGCGAAATGTCGTCTTTGAGGTCACTGAAATTTCCTCTGGAAATCGATCAAGCAGCTGTAGGGAATGCTGAAAACAGCCCACAAGTGCATTCTGCATTGTCTAGACCCGGGAGTAGCAGTAGGAGAGGACCTTTTACTCCGAGAAGTGAGTGCTCACGAAGTTTGTTTGGTGACTACCTGAGTCACCCGAACTACATGGCTTACACAGAATCATCTCGGGCTAAAGTTAGGTCCCATAGTGCCCCCAGGCAGAGAATGCAGTTTGAAAAAACTGGTTCAACAAAGAGGTTTGTTCATGGGTTTTCTGATGCAGACACTAATTCAGATAGGGGTTCAACTTTGCATGCTAACTTCAGGAACAAAGATTCTCCAGGTTCCGGTCATTTCAATAGACTTGGAACACCCACCCAAGGTGCTACCACCGCTTATAGTTCTACTTATGGCAGCAAAAGCTAAAGCTGTGCTCTTCCATTTCTCTTCGGTTGATTCCAGGAGATCGGGTTTTTGTTGTACAAATGTGTGCTTGGAAAAATTCCTTTTTGACATCGTCAATGTGGTGTAACATCATTGTTGCCAAAGATGCGAAATCAGTCCTCCTTTGGTTCCAATGAAGAAGAGCTATTGTTTGTGCTCATCTGCTATTGGGAATTTTGTGTGTGTATCTATGTGTGTGATTGTCTTCTATTGGTGATCCATTGTTGCTTGTAAATTAGTTTATGTACATGGCCAAACGAGTGATTCGTCTTCTTCACAGTTCAGGTTTCATTACATCAATGTAATTGGGGAATATGCATGTTCCCTTTTGTTTATCAAACAAGTCCTTCCTGTATTCATTCACTCAACCTTGGCTTCATGGACTCAGCATAGTACTATGATTCATCAGACCCAACTCGACATTGTTCAGAGTTTGTCAGAACCGACTCGACAGGAAGGAAAATCTAACTTTTCAAAGAACAAGCTAAATGGGAGAGGATTCGGTGAAGTATATGGTCTGCTCAAAAAAAAGTTGGCTCAACATCCACCTACACATCACGGTCATGGTGGTCTGCAAGCTTTTGAACTGTTACGGAGTGCAAGCTTTTGAACTGTTATGTAGTGCAAGCTTTTGAACTGTTATGGAGAAGTCAAGCAGAGTAGAAAAAGATACAACAATGGCTGAAAAACTAAATGCATCTCTATTTCAACTGACAAAATCGACTAAAAATGTAATACACACCCTATCCATGCTCCAAGAAAAAATCAAAAGATAAAGAAACGGATGCGTTCTAATCTAGAACTATGTATTTACAAATGCAAACAGAGGGAAGCCTAATGAGATAGATGGAGTACAAGCAACCTATTCAAAGTGCTAGGTTCCATCACACTTCCATTTCGAGGTAGGGACACAGTTCAGGTAGTGACACCAGCTGCAATGTTCATTTCCATTCTCTCCCTGAAACAGCATTACCAATCCTACTGTAAACCTGCATTTTAATTGGAAATAACAAAGGTGCAAAATTAGTTATACCCCCTGACATTAATCTAAAAAACACTGGGTATCTACAACCACAGACAATGATGGCCTTGTTTCCCAATAGTTTACAGGTGAATGAAGATCCATGTCCCAATATCTTAAAAAGTGATTAATAATGTCAAATGACCAACAAAAATGAATAGAGGCATTTGTAAACCACATACAAGCAAAGACCATATCATTTTGTTCTCCATAGCACTCAAATCATGTACAATTACTTTGCATCAAGCTATAGGTTCATCATAAATATTGCAAATTCATACTCATTGTTTTGGTAAAGTAGACTCACCCTGCAATCAGTAGACTCAGAGAAATCAACCACAACACATACTGATAAGCCTTGTATTTGTATTTGACTCGAACATCAGCTGGCATATTACGACGCTCAATCCACCCAAACTGAGGACGAGGAAGCAACACAAAGCCAAGGAGAATCCCCGTCAAGAATCCACCAATATGAGCAAAATTATCAACAAATGGCAGAATCCCAACAGCAAGGTTGATGACAACAATGACTACAAGTGTTATCAGCGCTGCAGCCTATGAGCAGGAACAGGAGGGAGTTAGTAAAATACAGAAGCCCATCACATTCCTTATGCAACAATATAGAACTCTATAGTTCTATATCATTGACATTTAATATATTAACTGACTGCGGACAGAACAAAATATTAGAACTTAATAACAATTATAGTGGCTAAAATATCAAACCATACATAGAGCATCCTAAGATCTGAAAACCCTGAATAAGAATTGCTCACCTTGCTCGTATAAATATTCCAGTTTGTGATAAGCTCTGAAAGCATTGCTCCAAGAAGCCCAAACAGAGCACCAGAAGCACCAACAGAGACGCTATTTTGTAAAAACAAAGCTGAAAGTACACTCCCACCAAATCCCGACACCAGGTAGATGATTCCAATCCGCACTGCAAAATTCCTAGATTATTATCGGAGATATATAATAATAGAAAAAATGAAATGGAAAAACATTGTATTGAAACTTGAGAGTATATGATCTCTGTTATGTGACATAAGTAGTAACGACGTGTCTAGTGTGGACAAAGAGTTCTATGCAGATGCATATAGTCCAAGTTTTAAAAAATACAAGACAGTATTAGATAAATTTCACTCAAATTTTGTTGAAAAGGAGGCAATTCAACAATAAATTCATAAATAGGAAAAGTGTCAATACCAAATCCAAATTGCTGTTCTAGGCGAATGCCAATTAAAACGACGCTCAACATATTTGTGACCAGATGAACAAGACCCGCATGCAACCAGATACAAGAGATAAGCCTCCATCCTTGATGCTTATGTACCACTTTGTTCCACTGAAGAGCTCCCAATTTCTTTAATCTTCAAAAACAGGAAAAGCTCAATTTTTCAGTACAACAACCTGTGTAGTAGTTTATAGGATAGAATGAAGTAACTTCTGCTAGAAAGACCCTTCAGAGTTCAAAAGGAAGAACAATATAGCCTTATGACATTAGCAACTCGTGTTCACATTTCCACAACCAAGCAGGTATCCCAATCTTTTTCACAGAAAGCACGAAAGGTGGGCAAGCACTAAGAAATGGCATGAAGTGCAACCTCTACGATTAAAGATTTTATAAAAACTCAACATACACTTGTAACTATGAAACATCACCTTCCCTTACCATTCAGGAGATCCCACATATGGCTGCATTACAGAAACTAATATGCTGGTTTGAAGAACCAATTGAACCAAAGGAAGAACACACTGCTAAGAAGGCAAAAAAAAAAAAAACCAACCCTAAAACAAACAAACCCAAATGGGGCCCAAGAGAGAGAGAGAGGAGGAGGAAGGGAGGGGAGAGGGGGGGGGGGGCGGGACAACTAACAGTAGGTAGTCCTCGTTTCAATTCACAATCATACCCTAGAAAACAAACCATATTTTAGGTAAGCGACAGCTTGCACTGAACCAAGACAAATTCAAGCTTTCCAGACAACACAATCCAAATTCACAAAATTCAAGTAGCAAAAAAAAAAAGAAACACCAAAAGCACATGCAAAGAGACAGTCCTCAAATAACCAATCAATAAAACATCCACCCATAAAATCAATCAAAAACCAAATTTTACACACAACTCTCCTAACAAGAAAACAAAATTTAAATTGGAGACATGGAAATTCAAAATTGAGATATGGGTTTTGAAGAACAAATCCTTACGTGGACAAAGAAGGACCAAAAAGGGGATTCTCCCTTAGAGGCTGAAACGAAAACCTCCCAAGAAACCTCGCCACACACTTGCCTTCAGCCCCCGAATTGTGTTTGGGACAATTGTTGATGTACATAACAACAACAAACATTGCAACGTTGGCTACAACAAACATAGGGATCAACCATGATGTCCACTGCGTCTCCCTTTCTTCGATCACATACGATGAGTTGATTCCTCTATTTTTAGCTCCCCTGCTCTCCAAATCTTCCCCTGACATCTCTCTCTCTCCCCTCAAAACTCGTCTGTTACTCAATTATGGTTTCTCTCTCTGTAAAGAAGAGTCTGTGAAGGGTCGAGAAGAGTGATTGGAGCTGGTGAAGGGATTACTAGAGAGAGAACGTGTTTCGTGTGGAAGGGTCGAGAAGGGTGATTGGAGCTGGTGAAGAGATTCCTAGAGAGAGAATGTGTTTCGTGTAGAGAGAGAGAAACAGGGGAGTTGTTACTCGTTGCGGGTGGAGTTGGCCACGATTTTAGTTTTGATTCGGTGTAAACGTCACACTATCTTCTCTCCAAATCATGGTTTTATTTGCTTGCCACGTAACCAAAAATTGTTTTTTTAATTGTTTAGTGTGACGTGGCTAGATTTTATTGGTTTAAATTGGTGTGATGGTACAAGGGGATTTAACGTGGGTATGGTGAACTAGGCGGTGTTTCTGGTATCGGCAGTTTAAATTCGCGGTTACTGAAAACGGTCGGACCGGGAGGGACTTCACTTTCTTTAGAAACGACAAACGAGTCAGTTTCAAACCGGTTCGAACCGGATTAATTTAGCTACCTTCAGTCAAAATGACATATACACATCATTTTAGATATCATCACCTGCTTGTCTTGTGCAATTCTGCTTCAACAAGTTATTTCCTCTAATACCCTCACCTGTTTATTCCCCCCCCCCCCCCCTCTCAAATTACTGAATGATTTTCAAATATTTATTACCTCTTTATAATGATTTTTAACTTAATTTTCAAATTATTGCTGTTTCTTTAAAAAAAATTGTTTAAATCGACGCTTTAATGTAAAACGTGGTTGCAAAATTTGACGATCAAGTAATCATAACCGTGAGAGTATTTGGTCATGTGCAATGACTTTTGAAAGTATGAACGCTAATTTATATTATAAGAGTTTTTTTTTTGTTTTTACTATTGAAATAAAGGGTGGGGGGCAAAGGAGAGCGTCCAGAGACCACTCCATAAGCCCATACTAATTTGTATCATCGGTGTTAAATCTTCTATTTGGTCTTTATTAATTTGAAGTACTAAAAAATAAATTGAGTTTACATCTAACATGGACATTATGTGCACAAAATGACCATCTTGAAATTGAAACCCACATTTTTTTATCATATTAACAAACTTCTATGGTTAAAATTCCAATTATTTATCTTCCTTTTCTTATATAAATTTCAGAATGATCATGATTAATTAAACATATTTGGCTATTATCAGTAGGATATGGTGTCATGGTAGATAATTAATTGATGATGATTTGAAATGCATGGAATCATTTAACCAGAACACATTAAATGATAATTAAATTAAATTAAAAAAAAAAATGTGAGTATGAATTTGAATTTCTCTAATAAATATACACCCCACACCCCACAATATCTTGCATTTCAATCAATGTGTGCTTTGTGATCATCTAAGCTTTATTATCAATTATATGCTTTGTTTTTCTCTTGAAAAATGATAGTTCCTAATTGGTGACGAAGATTCCATGAATGGTATAAGATTGTCCACCTTTGCCATTAATAACTTCACTTACATTTTTTCATATAGGAATTTGTAAGTAGGGTAACATTAGACTCATTCTTGCAGAATAAATTTTGACAATCTATATTAAATCAGAATCGACAAATTTTGAGTTTTTTTTTATGAACCCTAAAATAACCCAATAGAATTATATGTTAGCGTGTTTGAAACATAATTTAATCTTAGTAGATTAGAGATTTACAGGGTCTATGTAAGTGGTAAAAGTTTTGCTTAAGGCATTGAGGGCATGTTTAGAAGGTTTTAGAGTCAAGGATTTGATTGGTTTTCTCAAATCCTTCCGAACCTAACTTGCACCTTTGTGTACATGGAATTCATATATGAACCTTATCCACATTTATGTAGGACTCACGAATTTATGACAATTATCAAAACACATTTGTTTTGTAATTGACTATATTACCCATTGGTCAATTCAATCCATATCTATATTTGTTTAACTAATAAATGCATACGTGCGTTACACGTGAACTATTTTGTGCAATTATTTTAATTTGTACTTTTGTATCTCTTTATGTACATATCATCACATTAACAATGTTGATGAGTTATATATTCTCCCTTCAAAATAAAAATATTAAAACTATGTGTACATATTTGTCATAAAGACAGAAACACCACACTCAATGCATTTTAAATAAAAAAAAATAGCAGACACAGAAATAATATGAATTAATACTGAAGTTGTTAGAATTAACGGACAAAAAAAAAAGACAACCTTCCCATATTCTTTTAAATTTAATAGCATGTACCAATGACCCATGAAGTAAATATTCACACTCATATTAAAACACTAAAACTAACAGTGATGACTATAGTCTTAGTCAATCACCTTGGAGGAAGCTCTAAGCTCTAGGGGCCTAGGATGATGGAGTGGTGGTGGTGCAAGCTTTGGGCTAAAGTAGGCTTGGCAGTATCCTTGCATGAGAGTGAGATCAAAGGAAGCTTAGGTGGTGTAGAGCTTGGTTCATGCTCAAGATAGCGTTACTCAGAGCTTTACATTATCTAATGGTCACAAAGAAACCCATTGATAGGTCATAACCAAAACCCAAGCGTAATTTACAAGTAGATCAAGTATCTTCACTAGGTATGAATGAACTTCCCCTAAAAACTCAAGTACAAAACTTTTTGATTGTCTAAGAAAATAAAATACGGATGGACTAAATAAAGGATTCTAAAGAATACATTCAAAATTTAGTAGAGTAAAAGTCCTAACCATAAGAGGGAGAAAAGGGAGGGACAACAATCTAAAAATTTGATGAGATCTAGTATCTGTTTCGATTAAAGGTCTCCCCTATTTTTGCTTGAGCTTTAAGATAAAACCAAGAACATATGTCACAACTTTTTATGGGATAATGGACATAACCATTTATTGGAGAATAACTTTTGAAGAATGACCCAACTTCACAGATGGAAAGGAGTTCATTGCAATGACTCCACTGCCTCAAGTTTCCTCATTAACTGCAGAGGACTTCAAAGAAAAATAATATGCTTTTTCATCATGCTTGAGAAAAGGAACCTACTATTTATAGAAGTTCAAAAACAAAGAATGTGTACAAGGAGAATTTAGTGCAGAAAATAGCATATAATTACCCATTATATGTACTATTTTATACCATATATAGTGTATGTCTTTCCACTCTTTCTTTTTTCATATGGCAAAGATATATCAGTGATAGTCAATCACGACCTTGTTGGCAAAATATTCATATGCGCTTTCTACCCACTATTTGCACTATATATTCTAACCTGGCTTCCCTATTTCCAAAAATATAAATGTAGGATTTATAAACTATATCACACCAACACAAATTTTATCTTACTTAATCACTTGATCGGCAAAAGCACAAATGTTAGACTTGGGTTGAAGTGGACTTCCAAAAACCAGAACAACAAATGATAAGGGAGATAAGGTTAGAACCCACAACCACTCTTTTCACTTCATTATATTCTACATATATCCACAAGCAACTGGAAACTTAAATTTCATGTTCTATGAATGAACTTGATTCCACTTCTTCTGTAAAACAATACACATGTATCATAGAAGAAAAGATGATAATAAGATTAAAAAATTGTATATTTCGTGATGAATTAGATATAATCTTCTCTTTTTTTATAAGAGTGATGAATTAGATATAATTAGCTGAATATTTTTCGATGTGTTGCCTATAATCAACTCATTATTTTTAACTCCTTGTAAGTATATCACATCCATAGGTGTATTTGTGTTCTTTAAATAAACTGGGCCTAAATCTGAAAAGGGGAAGGTAACCAAATGAAGAGTAAGTTAGGGGTAAGGAAATCAACCAATATAAATGTTAAAACACCAAAAAAAAAAAGATAAAAAATAAATTCAACGCTAATTGTGTACGAGAAAATAACATAGATATAGAAAAATGATTCAAAAAATAAAATTATTGAAACTTAATGATAGGGTAATAATCGTGTAAGTGACCTTTGTGGTTGTATCAAGATATGAAATTTTGATAAGAAACATAAACAGAAAACCAGGTCATATCATACACATAATTAACACAATCGCCAGAACGACATATCAAAGCCATAGCCTTTTTTTCCTTCCCCATATACAAGTTTCGTTGATCGGTCATTCCTAAATACTCTGCCTATCCCCAAAAACATGAACCACTAATAAGAAGTGACATTAAGAAAATAAATAACAATGCCATATAATTAAATAATAATAAAACAATCTGATACAATTTAACACGTCAAACTGAATGACGTGAAAATGCTTTATTACTTTGTAAGACACTTTATTCAAGACAATTTTTAGCTGGTAGCATGCCAAATAAATGGCCTGGATTGTGTTGTGATAACAAATCTGATCAGATTTATCAAAATTTGGTAAAATATATTGTGGGATGATCTCTTTTAATGATCCAAACATGAATAGAAACAAATAGGACTTTTAACCGGGTCAATCATTTCCATTGACCACAGATATAAAAACACGTGATAGGCTTTATATTATAGGACTACATTACTGTTTGTCTAAAAACTAACAAACCTCCAATTTTTTTTCCATCCCCAAGACCCGATTCTCCATTTTTATCCCAAAATAATGAATTGAGTTCGTATAGGCATTTTGGACGTTGTTATTTCTTACTATATTTTTAGTTACTCCACCCATTTCATAAAGCATTCGACCTGGTATAACAATAGCTACCTAATATTCAGGGATCCTTTCCCCTAACCCATACAACTGGTAACAAATAAATTACTACCCAATGCTCACACAACATTCAAGAAAGCACTTTATGCTTTTCACATGAACTCTATAAATTTTGCCACTAGGCAGGCCAATTGCATGTGTGGCTGCAACACATTTTCTATAACCAATCATAACACAAATTCTGCAATCTTGAACAACTTGGACATGCAGGATTTGATTTTGAAATTTGGAATCACACAATGAATGACAAAAACTCCAGTCTGTATAATGGCACATGCAAACAAATCCCTAATAAATTCTTCAAAATTCAGTTGAATTACATAAAAGATGAAAGATTGGTTATTCAGATTTGCTAAATATTACTGTAATTGTCATGTCTTGACCACTTATAGAAGCCTTGTTTGATTACTAAACCTTGAAAAGAGTCAAATGCAACATCAAAAACAATTTAAGAAGCCTTTAAGGAAAATATAACGTCTTATGTAGTAAATCAATTAAACTACTATCACCCTCCTTCTTAGGTGATGTCCAATGAAGAGGAAAGATGAATCCAAAACCTAATTGATGGACATAATGACGATGCAGAGATGGGCCATTTGTCTTCTTATTAGGTTATGGAGATGGAGAATAAGTGATGAAGACGAAGATCATCGGCAACGACCTTCTTATTGTCTTTAGTCGTCGTAGATTTCTGAATCACAGGCAACGATGAAGTCGTGTTTGCTCGATTGTTGGTTTTGACGTGATGTTTAGATTTATTTTGTGTCTGTATGAAAGAAAGCGTATGAGGGTTATTGATCTTAGGGCTCAATGTGAAATCATCGGCAGGGTGACAAAAAGGGGCAACCACCCTCAAAATCTCCAAACTTTCTGTGATTTATTGATACATTGAATGTATGGAATAGCAAACAAACAATCAATAGCTGAACAATCTAAATAACCATGATCATTTTAAACAACATCAATGTTACTGTTAACCAAAAAATATAGGATTGTGATTAGTTATTTTATTAGAGATATTTTAGTCAAACAAAAGTTTTTCAGTTTTGTTGATATTTTTCACAAATGTGAGTAATTGGAGGGAAGTTTGAGATGTGATTTGGTAGATATGATATTTATTAAAGATAGAAGAGTCATTTGACATAGTTAATGCAGGCTAGCATATATGAACCCCGATTTGCCCAACCTCATCGCCATGTATGTGAATTTAATACACTAGGTCATTTAGAGCAACTTCAACCCTAATCAGTAAAATAGTTACTCAAAATATATTTAAATATTGTATTATCTACTTTAGCTATCTACTTTTTCAAATTTACTCTAATTACGTTATCTATTTTAGCTGACTACTTCAATTAATTTTAACTAATTTTCAATAATATAATTCAAAAATTCAACTCAAAGTATGTATAATCATCAACCCAACCAAAATCATACCATAATAATAATTCTAATTAAACTTTAAATAATATAACTTAATGACAATTTAACACCCATACACTTTAAATAACAAAAATCAATTGCACAATATGTCTCAAGATTTTTCCAAATACTTACATTAATATTTCATAGGGGTCTAAATATAAATATTCTATTATACATAAAACTAAGGGAGTTTTTAAAATTTGGGAGGGGGGAGTTTCAGAATATGTTGGGGTTTCAGAATTTATTTAGGAAAGTATATCGAACGATTTTTTATTTAAACTCCCCATCCAACCCTCCAAACCCAATAAACAACCAGGGCCTCATAATAGTGAATTCAAACCTCTCTTCCACTTCCATTTCTCATCCTTGTAGCATAAAATACTATTGTATATTAAAAAAAATAATTTTATTAGTTTCTTAAATTTTAATATAAAAAATAGGATAAAATATATTTTTGATCATTAAACTATACATTTTGTATCTATTTGATCTCTAATTTTTTAATTGTATCTATTTGATCCCTAAAGTTACTAATTTATATTTATGTAATCCAATCGAAGCGTTTGTTAAAAAATCATTGACAGTTTTAGTCATGCATTAATCACGTAATTCTTAATTTTATATATATTTGATTCTCAAAGTTTATAATTTGTATTTATTTGGTCTTTAAAATTCATAATTTATGTTTATTTGGCCCCACATGATTGGTATGTGACCAAAGTCCTTAACAATATTTTCACAGACATTTTGAATTGGACTAAGTAGACATAAATTAAAAATTTTTAAAAATTAAATAGACACAATTTAAAAATTAACAACTAAATATTTAAAAATTTAAATTTGGACCGACTTGGTACGAGAGTGTACGTGCGTGTGTGGGGGCGGACACAGCGAACACTGTTTTAGGAGGATGTGAGTGGACCCCGCTTCTTTTGCAAGAAAACGCACCCCTCTTTCTCTCTCTAAATCTCTCTAATCTCTCTCTCACACGCACTCCAGTCATGCTTTCTTATCCTCGGACTCTCCATTTGTTATTAGGGAGAGTGAAGAGACCTGCATGGAGGCCATTGAACCTGGCGGGTGTGGCGTCGTGTGGTGATCTTCTCAAAACAATATGTTTTTTTCTTTAGGGTTTTGATTTCTTCAACGAATCGAGACTTTAAAAAGGGTTTTGAAAAATCCATCGACTATCCTTGCGCCATTGGAGTCACTGTAAGTCAGCTCTAAACCTTCTCATTAACCCAATTTTTTCTACCTTTTATAATTATATAATAATCACTGTAATCTGTGATAACCCTTCTACAGATCCCAACATCATATAGACAGAGAAAGTCTAGAGAGAGAGAGAAAAAAAGAAAGGTCTTTTCTTTTCGTTCCCCAAAAAAATTAAAAAAGAACAGAAAGGTCCACAAATCTGTAACTTTGTATTTATCTTCAGTCTCACACACCAGTGTTCTTTACTTTACCGTGTGATTGTCAAAGTAAAAGTCTGCCTTTTGTCCTTTACTGGGTTTGGTTCCTTCACATCGGAGAGAAAGGGCAAAAAGAGTCAACTGAGTCTTTGTCTCTTATATTTGGTGGCATGTACCTGGAAGGTATGAAAAAGTCCACAATACATATGGGATGATATACATTGTTTTTGGGCTTTTCACTTTTGGTGCTTCTGTTTATCTCTTACCATCTTTTGAAACTTTTAGCTTTCTTTCTACTTTATGGGGTCTCTTTCATGATGACAGCTAAACTGTCAAACCCATATCTCTGATGGAATGAAAACTAGGGTTTGTTCACATTTTTTTAGAGAGAGAGAGAGAATTTGATGCAGCAATAAGGGTTTTTGGTTCTCTTGTACCAACCCGTTGGGCTGTTCGTAAATTTTGTGGGTTTTGGTTGGTGAGTCGAGTTTATCAGATTTTGCGAGTGTAACGCGCTTTAGATCTATCTAACTGCTCTAAAATCGGTGAATGCTTTACCTTTTATTGGGAGTAGTCTAAGAGAAATATGGGATCTTTTTTTGCTTGTCAGAAAGATGAGATCGAGAGAAAGAAAATCTAAGGGTACCCATTTTGAAAGTGATAGGGATTAGTCTAAAAAATTTAGAGGGGGTAAGTGGTTGTTAAAAGCGTTTATTTTGATTATATGTCATGAGTTTTATGGGTTCCATTGGCGGTGGTAGTGGTGGTGGTGGTGGTGCGAGACTGGTGTCTGATTGTCTATACAACCTCATGCCCACTTCCTCCATGGCTCAGCCACAACTGGTCACTGCACCACTTTCCCAGCCTATGTTCAACAATCCAGCCTTCTCTCTTGCCATTTTATGCCTCTCTCTCTCTCCCTCTCTCTCTCTCTCTCACACACACACACACACACTCTATGCACATACAAATCGGTATATTTGTTGAAACTCTTACGTTTGTTTCATTTTGTTTTGTAGTTTCTGGTGATTTTGTTTGATATTTGTGTGATTGGATTATTGTGCAGAAACCCAAGATGGAGGATATGGGTGACATTGGTGTTCTTATTGGGGAGAGTTTCGATCCTGGTGTGATGAGAAGGGCTAGGGAACATGAGTATGAGAGCAGGTCAGGAAGTGACAACTTGGAAGGCGCATCGGGCGATAATCAGGACACTAGAGGCAATAAATCACGTAGGAAAAAGAAGAAGTACCATCGTCACACTCCCTATCAAATTCAAGAACTTGAAGCGTAAATTACTTTTCCACATTTATGCAAACTTATACTACTTTGTTCATTAATCACTAATTTCAGGAATTTGTTAATGAGAGTTATTATCTATTTGTTGTAACAGTTCCTTCAAGGAGAATCCTCACCCTGATGAAAAAGCAAGGTTGGATCTTGGCAAGAAGCTGAGCTTGGAAAGCAAGCAAGTCAAATTTTGGTTTCAGAACAGACGAACCCAAATGAAGGTAATTTGATATGCAAGTTCTCTTCGCTTGGTTTATTTTCTCGTGGTTATTAAATTTGTTGATTGGTGAAACTGAAATTAATCCACTGAACCAGAACCAATTGGAACGTCATGAGAATTCAATTCTTAAACAAGAACATGATAAGCTCCGAATTGAGAATATGGCAATCAAAGAAGCAATGAGGAACCCAATTTGCAGTAATTGTGGAGGCCCGGCAATTCTTGGCGAGATATCTCTTGAGGAACACCATCTGAGGATTGAGAATGCCCGGTTAAGGGATGAGCTCAATAGGATATGTGTCCTAGCAGACAGATTTTTAGGCAGGCCATTGCCATCCTTAGCCGGCTCTATCCCTGCTGGCTTGGAACTTGCAGTGGGACGGAATGGCTTTGGCGGTTTAAGTTCAGTAGACACTGCATTGCCAATGGGACTTGATTTTAGCAATGGGGCTTCAAATGCTTTGCCTGTGTTTCCCCCATCAAGGCCAGAAGTTGGCACGCCCTGCTTTGATATTCCATTTGAAAGATCTATGTTTCCAGAGCTTGCATTGGCTGCAATGGATGAGTTGGTGAAACTGGCTCAGATAGATAATCCGCTCTGGTTCAAAAGCATAGATGGAGGGGGAGAAGCACTGAACCTTGATGAGTACATGAGGACATTTCGTCCATGTATTGATATGAAACCCAGTGGGTTTATAACTGAAGCTACAAAGGCAACTGGTACAGTTATCATCAATAGCATGGCCCTTGTCCAGACATTAATGGACGCAGTAAGTTGTTCAATCCTTTTTACAACTGTTGCTATTTATGTTTTTTCATTGGAAATATTGATTCTTTTCATTGGTTAAATATTCACAGGGAAGTATTGTTGGCAAAACTTACATTATTTTATCTTTACATGTTATATTTTTCTTGCAATTGGCTGATTCGGTTGCATGTTTCTTGTGTTTGGTTTCTTTTTTCTTTTTGTTTATGCTTTCTTTCATGCAGGATCGATGGGTGGAAATGTTCCCTTGCATGGTTGGGAGAGCTACAACTCTTGATGTGATTTCCAACGGCATGGGTGGAACCAGAAATGGTGCTTTGCAACTGGTATGCCATTTTCAATTTTTCTGATTCCCCCTTTCTCCCATTTCCCTCATGCTATCGTGCTCTTTTCCTTGGCTGCCAAGCCAGAACTTGAAGATCTTGCTTTGTAGATGTATGCCGAGCTCCAAGTTCCTTCACCATTGGTCCCAGTTCGTCAAATGAAGTTTCTGCGGTTCTGCAAGCAGCATGCGGAGGGGGTGTGGGCTGTGGTTGATGTGTCGATTGACACTATTCGAGAAGGTTCGAATGCACACACATTTGTGAATTGCAGGAGGCTTCCTTCTGGCTTTATTGTGCTAGATATTCCTAATGGTTATTCCAAGGTAATTACTAATCCGGGTTCTTGTTTTCCATGAATCTTTTCTTTTTTTTAATGTTCATGGTGCTAGGTTGCCCCAGTCGGAATAGTTCCGTTTTGGGGTCTTTACTGAGGTTGGTTAGAAACTGAATTTATTTCTTAGTTGAGAATACATCAAGGTAAAGTTATGGCATTTGGAGTCCCAACCTTTTTGACTTGTGCTTCAAAAATTTTTTTTTTTTTTTGCTTTTCTGTATCTCCAAACACTATCTTCGGTGGGGTTTCTCTTAACAAAATACAACAGGCCTTTGACCTAAGAATCTGAACCTTCTATTAATATTTTAGTTATTCAGATGCTTATTTACTTTATAATATTGTAATCATCAAAATATAAAGCTAGGTTGTTTAGTGTTTACTTTGTCAATATACTGCCAGTTTAGAGATGAGTGAACCGAGTGTATCCACATTAAAATACTTGTTGATATCTTCACTTCTGTTTCTCATCTTTAATATCCTAAAGATGTAAAATTTACATGAAGGAAATTGCCTTGGAGCTTTCATCTTTTGTTATATAAGATATCTATTTGATGTTTCTATTCTCACTCCCCCCAAATCCCCACAAAAAATGTTTATTATCCACGAGGTTGTATGACCTGGATACAGTCCATATTGTACTGTTTGAAACTCTAAATAACGTGGAAAGAATATCTTTTTGTCTTGATATTCGTTTCCTTCCCCATTTTTTTCTTTTTTGGGTGGGCTTTTTTTGTTTGAGGGGGAGGTGATGCAGCTGTTTTGTACTTAAAGGCTAGCTTTCTTTTCGGTGATGGGGACACTACCCCTTTGTGGTTGACTACACTATTCTTCTTTCTTTGGAGCCTTGAATTTTTCAATATTTATGTGCATCTATCCTTTAATTCATGCAAATTTTCTCTCTCCCTGCCTTCCTCTTCGTTTATGGCAGAAATATTATTCTTCATTAAGTATTCATGGAAGTAGTTCATTGATCATTGCTTCTCAACAAAATTACTTAAAAAGGTGGGACTATTCCCACCTCCACCAATATCCATTCTGATCCTATTAAAATTTTTATAGTCAAACTACTAAGTCTGCCCCTTCTATACCCATCTGAATTTTAACTAAGTCCACCCCATGTTATACAAAACCTTTTAATAACAAGTCTACCTTTTATTTTCTCAAAACTAGGGTTTCATTCACTATTTTCTCTCATATACTCCCCACGAAGGAGTTTTTGCAATAAGGATTTCTCTAGAGAGATGCATGTCAGTATGACTCGGTTTAATGTTTTGTTTGATTTCATGTGTGTTGTGTGTATTCATTATTATTATTTTTTTTTGTGTTTTGGTATTCTGTCAAGTTTAATTATTTTTGATTTAAGGTTTATATGTGTGTATATATATATGTATATATTCATAAAAGTTTGCAACAAGAAGGAAAAACGAATCATTGTAAATTCGTTGATTACTTATAACTATACATATAAATTATTCTCGTAGGTATATTCAACAAATTTTTTTGATCCAATATGTGTCCATTCAAAGAGAAGTTAATATTGTTGCCCACACTATAGGAACACAGGCAACTCCTCATGTTAATCTAATGGAGGTTGTTTAGACAAAAGCTAAAATAAGCTCGGATAATGTACAGATACAGAAGTAATGTACTCATCTTACTTATCAATACATATTAAAAAAGTTTTTTTGTGTAGGGTGTATGAGAGGATATAGTGAATGAAACTCTAGTTATGAAAAGATAAAAGGTGGACTTGTTATTAAATGAGTGTATATAGCATGAGATGGATTTTATTAAAATGGGATGGGTATAGAAGGGGTGGGCTTAGTTGTTTGAAAATAAAAATTTTAATGAAGTGGAAATGGATATTTGTGGGGTGGGAATAGCCCCACCCTTACTTAAAATCATTATCTCCAATAAATTGATGCCAAGGGTTTGTTAAGTAAATCCTTAATTGGGTTACCAAGTGTTTGTAAAGCTCCCGTGAGTCCCGCCCAACTAATGTTCGAGAAATAAACTCATTAAGTTATGAGTGAATTCAGCAACCTAAAAGGAGGTTCTTGAGGATTTTTGGCATTCCCAAACTATGTCTACAAACTAATCAAGTTCTTTTTAAATGAATACAAAAACTTGGCTACTACATACATCTGACCTTGACCTTGCTATGACAAGAATCATGTGGAAGGCCAACTTTAATAATGTATACCCAAGCGTAGGTTGTCACAAAGTAATATATTCTCAGAAGTCCGAGGTCGAATTCTCATGGAATTGTGAAAACAAAAAACACAAAACAAATAAAAAGAAATCGTTTGAAATTTATTTGAATAGGAATTTATTCAACAGAACAAAGATGAGTTGATTAAAATAATAATTAACATACTAAGGCATTGGGTGTACCTTTTCAAATCCACACGACAATTGTTAATGACCCAGTTTTCAATCTCAGTTGAGTAGTAATCTCAACCAGAATATATAGTAGTGATAATATGAAAACTCCAATAGTTGTAACCAAGAAACTATCCGAATAAACTCAAAAAATCAATTGCAGATCGCAAGTATTTACTGTATTCGAAGTCTACGATGAATCAAACTATTCAGCTGGTGAACCCTAGACTTACTGCACATTATAAAATAATTATTTTGTGAAAATCCTATTAATTAACTGAAGCGTAAAATACCTAGTTATTTGACTCGTTGAGAATTTCAAGCATTCGATGAACATGAGACATCTTATCAAGAAATTATACAGAGCAAGAACTTTGCTAAAAGATAAGAATCAATTTAACAGAATAAATCTATCAATTAAAACCTTGAGTCAAAAACAATATTGTATGTCATTAAAAGGTTTTCCCCTAGCCTTAGTTGGGCTTTTAGCCAGACATTATTGAAATTCCACAAAAAGCATAGAGGAAAACTAGAAGGCAAAAGAAAAAGGCCCCCTCCTCAAGAACTATCTTCCTATTTATAAGTGATAAAACCACCAAAACTAGGTCACAATGCAAGGCACGGAAGTCTGGGCAGCTTACAAACACATGCCTGGATGCAAGTGAGTCACCATCCAGACGTACTTGACAGAATTTTCTCCACATACTTTGAAATCTTCGTATCTTTCCTAGTCCGTTCTGGAAAATCCATCCGGACACATTTCCTCTTTCATCCAAACGCGCCTACCAGAATGCTCCTCCTCTCTTAAATTCTGACTCTCATCACTTGTCTTCCAGTTACTCTTTAAATTCTCCTTATCTACCTGCAAAACAAGACAAACAGTCTATAAGAAGGATCAAATCAAAACTTAGCTGTTAATACTTTGCCCAATGTAATTAGTCCCTAACCAATACGGACACATTATCTGAGGCTAATCAACGTGCATTGGACCATTTATGGATACTTAACTAGCTAGGTGTTTCGGCCTCCTAAATGAAATAAAAAACTGTTCAACTGGTTTGAGTTCTCATATATGCAGCATCGATGCTTTTGTGTTAGTATTACAAATAATATGCAGAATGGCTGCTAATTTAATAAAATTATCAGGTTACCTGGGTTGAACATTCAGAGTATGATGAGAGTGCTGTCCACCAACTTTATCAGCCATTAGTCAGGTCGGGCATGGGCTTTGGTGCAGAAAGATGGGTTGCCACCCTCCAACGGCAATGTGAGGGCTTGGCAGTCCTGATGTCGTCCTCCATATCCAGTGATGATCATGCAGGTCATTTAATAGTTTGTTCTTGTTATTTCTGTTAAAAATAAAAATGGTGGTAGTGGAGTCTGACACAGTCTTGTGCATGACAGTAATCACTCCAAACGGCAGGAGAAGTGTGGCAAATCTGGCACAGCGTATGACTCGTAACTTCTGTTCTGGGATTTGTGCCACTGTGCACCAGTGGGAGGTTGTCCAAGTTGGAAGTGTGGGTGAAGATGTGAGGTTGATGGTACGGAAGAGCGTTGGTAACTCTGGTGAGCCCCCTGGGGTTGTTTTGAGTGCTACGACGGCTGTTTGGATGCCTGTGTCGCATCAACGTTTGTTTGATTTCTTGCGCAATGAACAGCTTAGGAGGCAGTGGGATGTTTTGTCTCCCGATGGTCCCATGCAACATATGGTCCACATTGCTAAGGGCCAGGATCACGGCAATAGCATTTATCTTCTTCGTGCTAGTGTAAGTAGTCAACTAGTCATCTATCATACTTGATAGATGTGGCTTGAATTTGGAGATAGTTATCTGAAATTTTTCCTTCTCTCAAACTTGATTTTCATTGCTGTGACCTTGCAGGCCACAGATGCTTCTGCAAATCAGAACAGCATGGTGATTTTGCAAGAGACATGCACGGATGCGTCAGGATCACTCATCGTATATGCAGCAGTTGACATGCCAGCAATGAATGTGGTGATCAATGGAGGAGATTCTTACTGTGTGGCTTTCTTTCCTTCAGGATTTGCCATAGTGCCAGACTGTGTTCCTGATTCTGGCGGGCCTGACAACTGCAACGGAACTTTGACCAAAGAAGACAGTAGGGTGGCAGCAATGGATCCCTACTGACTCTGGGGTTTCAGATATTGGTGAATAGCCTCCCGGCAGCTAAGCTCACAGTTGAGTCAGTTGAGACTCTGAAAGCACTCATCTCTCGTACGCTTCAGGGAATCAAAGAGTCCTTACAGTGCAATTGACATGGCAGGATGAACATATTGAAGGTGTTGCATAGCTTAATTTAGTAGGTTTTGTTTATTCTTGGGAAAGCATAATTATGTATGAGGCTGGTAAACAGAATTGAGCCTGAGATGAAAGTGGGGAAAATGGGTTTTGAGTCAAGAACGAACCGTGGTGAATCCTTGGAGGGGGGTGTCAGGTAACATGGAATGATTCGGAGTACAATGGTCGAGAGAGTTTCAAATCGATTCTGGCATCAAGCAGAAGGTAGTGGTTCGGGTATTGACTCAGTTGATCCGTGAGGTAAACTCAGGTCGCAGTAGTAGTCTATTGGCATGCATGGAGGATTTTCCTTCTTGCATGCTGGTTTCTTCAACTCTTTTTGTACTGAATAGTGTCTACACTTCTGGTCTCAACTGTTTTATATTGTTTGCGGGTTCTGCTTCGAATTAATCTGCGAAACTTTGCATGCTTACAAATTGTTATTTTGACTTTGTAGCCATTTATGATGCTTGAGACCTGCTACTACTGAGGTCAGCGGTTGGCCTATTATGGCCATCGCTCCTACTGTTTGGAACTTAAAAGTCATGGGCGGGGTCGAACTTCATTGTCTCCCTTCTCTTTCAACCCAAAAAAGAAAAAGGAGACGTGACTACTAATACTGCATACACTATGGATGCCTCCTGTTGCTTTATGGAGACTCGTGCTCTGGAGATGGTTTCCTACAGATATATAATGTCATGGTTGGGATATAAGTTGTAGGTACATTATGATATCAATCCTATGCTTGGATTGGAATTAATGTCATTAATTTAAAAAAAAAAAAAATGCATCTTTACATCCAATCCATCCAAAACAAAAGTAGGGTTTCTCTATACTTTGGTTGTTTAGGAGGACTAATTTTAGACCACCTATTACATTGGTATGAGTTGTACTGTGGATGTGATGTTATTTGGGCATTGTAACATTGAGCTAGAATAAGACTATATCTTATAATCTTTCAATTATGATATTAAGTTGTTGTTCGACTAATTTAGTTCAACTCTACTTAGGAATATTGGAGTCAAACATGTGTCTTGTGTATTGATGTTAAATTTATATAATAAGGTACTTAGATATTTGAATTTTATTCACATATATATTTTTTGCTCATTTTTATATTAAGTTAAATCATATATGGCTTCCTAATGGGAGGTCTAATGGGAGGTCAGGGGTTCGAAATCCCCTGAACGCGACTGTTTGATAGGACAAGACTTCAGTTGTTTACACAAATCGTATCAAATTCTTTGATGTGGCTCTTGAGTCTCAGGCGAAAAACAAGTCATGATTTAAATAATGTATGAGTTGAGGTACTGATTCATACTTGGGCTTTGCCTTTGATTTTATTTAGAATTACGATTCTGAGCGACATAAACGCGCTTCTACTCGCGGAAGACAGACCATGAAATTTCCTCGTTTTTGAAATCATATAAGTTTTGATTAAATTGTGGTTCATAAATGATAGTGTATACGTTGATATTTTTTTGAGATCATAAATTTTGAAAAAAAATAATTGATTTGAAAAATAGATTTTTTATTCCCAATATTGTTCATATACGATAAGGTGCATATGTTGAAATTTTTTTAAGGTCATTTATTTTGAGAAAATATTGTCGATTTTTATTTTAAAAAATTATGGATAGAAATTAACTTCAAATTATGTAATTAAAGAACGGGAATAAAAGAAATTAATATTTGATATAGTAAACTTAATTTTTCAGACGCTCAAAACATCTCAACAACTACCGACATGGCCATAGATGGTGGTCACGTGTCAAGAATAAACCAAAACGATCTTGTTGATCTGGTTTTCGATATATTGTTGCTCCGCCTATAAATTTTAAAGGTGTAGGTAGGGTGAGATACGCACTACAACTCGAGTGAGGCAGAACATCATTTATAAGCAAATAGGCGAATTGACCAATGTCTAGTCAAGTGTGCCAGCGAGATCGTTAAATGGATGGATAGCAGCACGATGAAGGAGGCCTGATTTTATATTGAACTGTGTTTTCAAGTTTGAGTTATTGTTAGTAGTAGTCAGGGTATCAAATATGTCGGGTTAAATGGGTACTGAGTGAAAAATATGTAAATCTGTATATGACATGTTTAATAAACAGGTGAAAAATTTTAACACAAACACGACATATTTAATAAATAGGTAACACGATACGACTCGTTTAATCCATCTAATTTAAAAAAAAAATGTCAACAAATTTTAATACACTATTTTTTTTACTGTCAATTATATTTATCTCAAAAAAGAGAAATTTCTAACTAAATTTCACATTAAAATTAGACTTGAAAGCTAAAAAACAGGCAAGTGACCACTGTTATCTATAGGCAAGGCATCCCTCACCATCTTTTCTCATTTGTCGATGTAGGACAAAAACAAAAAGGGTTAGCTTGTCTTTGTCATGAACTGTTCTCTATCTTCCCTCATTTGTCATTGAACTACTACTTTGCTTTTATTTTTTGTTTTTTGCATTACTTTATTTTGTTTTTTGTTTTTTGCATTTATTTCGTTATTCCTTTTTCTGGCTAATTTTTTAAAATAAATAATTATTTATTATTATATTAATTTTATTTAAACGGGTAAACGTGTAATAAACGGTTTGACAGGTCTCACCCGAATACGACCCATTTATAAAACATGTATGACGAGTCAATCCATTTACCATTCAAACTCATTAAAATTTCACTCAAACCTATTTAATTCATGTTGATTCATATCGATTAATTGTATCGTATCGAATTTTGACATATCCATAATATAATATTTAGGAAAGCGAAGGTAATTTGTACCACTGGCAGGCCTACACATGGACCATTGAGATTACAGTTGGGCCTAAAGCCGCGTCATATGAAGTCTTGAATCAGCTTTTTGACAGGCCCAATCACCCTATACGGCTATACAATAACAATACCAACTCTCAAAATCACACTACCTACCCAAATATTTCCCAGAAGTGCGATCAGTACCACAATATTTCAGAAATTTACACAATTCACCACATAAACCACCCTCCCCGGTGAAAATCCATCGTTTCCAAGGTTACCATTCTCTCTCTCCACAAACCCTAAACCCTAAATACCCATCTCACAGAAATGCACACATTCTTCACTCATGCAACGAAAATCTTGATATCAAATACCAAACTTTGCAAAACTAATTCATCGACCTACAGTTTTCTTCAGAATATGCTTATCAATTCATTCACAGCAACCAGACTTATGTCACAGTCCACTTCCATACCCAAAAAGCTCCAGCGAGTTCGAGATCACGGCTACGACAACTACATGGAAGTCGAGAAGAAAATGCGCAAAGTCCTCAAATTCCAAGACCTAATTCTCTCACAACCCAGCTCCATCGTCTCTATTTCTCGCTTAGACACTCTCTCTCGCCGCCTCGGCTTCAAACAGTTCGAGAGCGGTCAGTTCATTCTCAAATTCCCACACCTATTCGAGATTTTCGAACACCCAGTTCAGAGAATTCTCTATTGCAGACTCACCCGAAAAGCCCAGCTCCAGATTGAGCAAGAAAATCAAGCCCTTCTTGTTCAAATCCCGGACGCCGTCACGCGGCTCCGGAAACTCCTCATGTTGTCAAATACGGGTCGCCTTCGGCTGGAACACGTACGTATTGCAAGGAAAGAGTTTGGGTTACCAGATGATTTCGAGTTATCGGTAATTCTGAAGTACCCACAATTTTTTAGACTGTTTGATGCAAAAGAAACTAGGAATAAGTACATTGAGTTGGTTGATAAAGACCCAAATTTGGCTATTTGTGCTATAGAAAGAGTTAGGGAAAACGAGTATAGAGAAAAAGGAATTGATGCTGAAAATATAAGGTTTTCATTTATTGTGAATTTTCCACCTGGATTTAAAATTGGGAAGTATTACAAGATTGCTGTTTGGAAATGGCAAAGGCTTCCGTATTGGTCACCTTATGAAGATGTATCAGGGTATGATATGAGGTCGCTTGAGGCGCAGAAACGGATGGAGAAGAGGGCAATTGCTACAATTCATGAGTTGTTGTCTTTGACAGTGGAAAAGAAGATTACTTTGGAAAGGATTGCACATTTTAGGTTGGTGATGGATTTGCCTAAGAAACTTAAAGAGTTTCTTCTTCAACATCAAGGGATATTTTATATATCGACTAGGGGGAATCATGGAAAGCTTCATACAGTATTTCTTAGGGAGGCTTATAAGAAGGGGGAGTTGGTTGAGCCGAATGATTTGTATTTGGCGAGGAGAAAGTTGGCCGAGTTGATCTTGTTGAGTCCAAGGAAAGCCAATGTTGATAAGGAGTTGGTGGGTAATAGGAGGGATAGAGAAGATGATGAAATGGGGAGAGTTAGAAGAGCCTATGTTGATAATGGTTTGGGGTCTCGTGGGGATAGAGACATCATTAGACGACATGTGGAGGAAGAAGAAGATGTAGAGTCTGATTTGAGTGGTGATATTGAATCTGATTACACAGACGAGAATAGTGATTGCAATGAAAATGCAGATGCAGAGGACACACATTTGACTGAGTGACTTAGATAAGGCAGGTGGTCTCGAGGAATATTATGCCTTTGCAGTGCTTGGTGGCTGTACTACTCTTTTTGAAGCATTGCTATCATTTGAATTGAAGATAAGCTCTTAAATGGCATTGTGAGGGAAAACTGTCCAGCATAATACAACTTATGAAGTTTAAGGGAAAGACTAATGATATGAGGCTGTCAAAAGAAGAAAATGGGGCATCCATGTGCAGAATGAAAACTCTCTCTTTTATTCGTGAACAGAGATAATGTATTGGAGCTGAGTTCTAAGTAGCAACATTTAATTTTCAGGGGTAAAACATGGTACCTCAAAAGTGTTGAATTTTCCGGGGTAAAACATGATCCGTCAAATGATATCATGGGATTAAGCAGAATTTTATCCATCTGGTCGATATCATGTCATCTTAATTGCAAAGTCTGGATTAATCCTAAAACAGAAGGCTTTGCAAGTCTAAGCAAGCTGCTATTTTGCACGGAATACCAGCGCTGATGAGTTCTTGCTTCAGGAGGCAGTCAATGTGTTGATGTAAGATAACTCCGACATGTATATTCATCATCTTCTGTTCTGCCTTAATTAATCAACTCCTTTGTTATGTAATTTTCGGAGGATTTTTTTTTTTTGCATTAAATCAATTGATTCAACTATCTGAGGCTATGTATTTTCCAGTAGTGTATTTTATGGTGCAGAAGTATTGTTGACTGTTGATAAATAATCCACTGAGATGGAGAACAGCCGAGCATAAATTGATAACTAAAAGCAGTTGTTAGTGTTCTGCCAATCAGAAGCGTTAAGGGGCTGTTTAGTAAAAAGGTATGAGGTCTTGGTAAGATGAGTTTGGGGAAAATAGTCTAAAGTTATTCCAAATTTCATGTTTGTATGAAAAATTTAGTCCCGGGTTTTCAAACGTAGCTCATAGTTGGTCCGAAGATTAAACTCATGATCATGAGTTTTATCAAATTTAAAAGGAGACGGGTTTGGGAAAATGGATAAGAGGTTAAAGATCCAAAAAACAACTAAACCCTTTAACATGATTATGAATTTGATTAATCAGGGGTAAAATAATAATTTATAGAACAAATAGTTATTAATAATTATGATATATCCGTGAGTTCTACATGTGTATGTGTTGCATACCAAACATGGATATGGATTGGATTAAGTGTTACATTTCATATTTACAAATAGGGGTTTCAGTTTAAAAAAGTTTGGAGAAGTCAATACAAATCCCTCCCTAAAATTCATCCAAACAAGCCCTAAAGGTGAGAGCTAACTTGTTGGAGGGTCACAAGTTGGTCTAGGTTGAATTGAGTTGGCATCAAACTCAATTAGATCAAGTATCTTTTACTTGTAATTTAAGTTATTTTCATCCTTGATAGTTGATGCCTGTTGTATATGGCATTGTATACCTACTTGAAGTTGTTTATCTCAGACATAGTACTAGTATTAGTATTAGGTAAAGTCTCAACTACATAGTACTACTTTACTAGACAGTTGCTTTTAGTAACATTTTAAGGTAACCTCTTGCAAGTTGCAACCTAACACCTAGCTAGTTGCCAATAGGAAACACCAGTAGCTTCTAATTGGAGCTTCAGAATAAGGTTACAATGTCAAATGATTTGGTCATCTCAGCAGTGCCTGTGGAGTGTTAACTTATGCTTCATAGAGTTCTTAACCACTGGGACTGGGAGTGTCTCTTATTCTCTTTCTGTCTCTGGTCTTCAGTTTATTTATGCATGGACAGCCTTGTGGTTGTGGGGACTACCTAATTGTTGGCTACAAACAGGAGTCCACTCATCTGACCTAAGTGGGGCCTCAAGGTCCTCTTTCTAGGATTAAATTGAGGCTAACACTATGCTATTGCAAAAAAAACAAACCATACCATATTGAAAAATAATTCTCAACTATTGATTTTCATTTGAATTATTTATAACATAAAAAAATAAAATGTTAAAAACTTTTTATCTGCCATCTCGTGGTTGGATTAAGAAAAAGTCAAGCGGTATTGAAAAAAGACAAAATGTAACCGCAAATTAGATATTATTATACAACTTAGATCAGTATGAAATGTCAAGGGTTTGCAAATTCTATTGAAAAAAAATTATATGACTCGAACTAAATACAAGTAAATCTATATTTCTCCTTTTATTTGACTACTAACCTAATTCGCATCAATTTATATTTAGCTTTCAACATGAGTTGAAGCATGGTCTTTTAAACACCGAAGTAAAATACCCATAAAAACCTTCCAACAAAATTTTTTTTTTCACAAAAAAAAAAAAAAAAACAAATACTCTCATTGGATGAATGACAAGACTATCAATGTAAATAACTTTTTCCGTTGGTAAAAAAATTATCATTAATGTTTTGATCAAATAAAAGATTTCTTCTTTATTTTCCAATAAATATGGAATTCCTTGTCTATCAAAGTAATTAAAAAGTTCTTGTTTTGTTAATAAATTTAAGGAATAACTGTATGAATTTCTTGAAAAATGATAACGAATAAGAAATATCAAATCTAAATTCTAAAATTAAAGAAAATAAAATTTTGAATTCCATCTTAAAAGTGGTAAGATGGAAATTTTGCCCCACTTGAATTCCTTTTTTTGTATAATTAAATACAAATATATGCATGTATAATAATAAAAAAAGAAAATAAAAATATGATAGTCACTAAATAGAAGTTTCAAACATCTAGTTTAGAATAAGTAGAGAATGTAAATATATTAAAATGGTTAGTATATTTGGGATTCTATTAATAAATATGACATCGTCTCAAACAAATTTGGTATAAATATGACATCAGATGTCTTGCTAATTAATTTGGTGCTCAAATGAAATTTTTATAGAGGTTAGCGAATGATCTAATGACCACCGCCTCTGCTCTAGAATTTTGTGGTTGTGCGTTAAAACTTTGTTACCCTTTCGATAATAACTGTCCCAAAAATGAGATGGGGTTTTTATATTTTAGCCTAAAATCTTCTTATTTTCCACCCAAGCCTAATACTCTATTTAGGGGTGTCAATTTCTGACATAATATAAAAATACGATTTGAAATCGACACGAAATTAACGAATTAAGATTGATTATTTCTCAAGACAGCCACATAAAATAACACGACCCATTAATACAAATAATAAATGGGTCAAGGTTAGTGTCAAACACAAATAACATGAAATTGACACAATTAACATGTTTAACTATTATTATAAATATAAAAATTCAATTATTTGTTATTATATATCAAATATTGATATAATTGTTATACATAAAATATATTTTAGTCATTTTTATTATTATATTTATTAAATTGATTTTTAATTTATAAAAACTATGAATATAAATTGAATTAAGTGATAATATAATCTTAAACTTAAATTTTAATGTTAAATTCTTTATTCACGTGTTATATGAATACGATATAAAAATAAATAAATTAAATCAATATAATATAATAAATTAATTAAATATTAATTAGTGTTCGACATAAATATGAAATAACGCTAAAACAATAGTCATCCGTAATTCTACATGCTATTTTTGCCTTTTGTTCAAGGTCGAAGAAAACAATAATAACTGCATAAATTAGTTGAAGGCCTAAACACAAAGTACAATGGAGAGAGAGAGAGAGAGAGGTAAAGTTGTCTTGACATCGGGTACCACAGACCCCCTATTTCTTCTCCGTTGCTTTCTCAAAGCTAAACATTCTTGACAACAGTCCACCAGCTAAATTCCAGACTTAGAAAGAGTATTCAATCCATTTTTTTCAGAGAGAAGTCATACACGTCACTTTGTAAATCTACATAATATGTCTGGGTATCTATATAGATAGTGTAATGGTCTTAGTATCCAAACCCAATATTCAAAGCCAAGCCAAAGAACCAAACCACTATCATTTGTTGTCAGCTCCTTTCCATTTTATTATTTTTTTGCTATTTGTTTAACGACAGTTGACCTAATTTACTGAAACCCCCCCCCCCTCTACATCCAGGAAGTTTTCTGTATATTTGACACGCAAATAGATTTAGAGAGAGAAACAGAGTTTCCGAGAGAGAGGGAAAGTGAGAATGGGGAATTCATTTGGGTGCTCGGCGTCAGGAGAGAGGCTGATATCTGCCGCCAGAGATGGTGATTTTGTGGAAGCCAAGATGTTGCTTGATTGCAATCCTTGTCTGGCCAAGTACTCCACCTTTGGTGGCCTCAACTCTCCTCTGCACTTTGCAGCAGCTAAAGGCCATAACGAGGTCGACCCATTTTCAATTTCTCTGTATTCTCTATAACCCATAAATATTTTGATATATTTTCCGTGTGTTTGTATAGTATCTGTGTCTGTTTATTGATTGGTTCATGCGGTGACTATAGATTGTGGCATTGTTGCTAGAAAATGGAGCTGATGTGAATTCCAGGAACTATTGCGGGCAGGTACAACAGTTTGTTTATGATACATATTTCCATTACAGCTTAGGATATTGAGTTGATGTTTTTTTTTCCTAGAACAGCTATTATTTTTTGGTGATGTAATTGCATAATAAATCCTAAGATACTTGAGCTGGAATTTTCTTGAATAATTAATTAATTGATGGGTCTGTTATTGAATCCACTTGTTGAATTGTTGTTTTGGAAATGTATTGCTAGACGGCGCTGATGCAAGCATGTCGGTATGGCCATTGGGAAGTTGTCCAAACTCTCTTGCTCTTTAGATGCAATGTGAGTTTACATTTTAATGTTTTTCCTTTTTTGTCCCTTTTATTTTTTGTTACTGAATTGTGAGGAGGTTCATAAAGCTTATTTGATCTCTGCTAATGGAGGTGCAATTTAATACCACTTCTCAAGAATCGAAAAAATTGGTCCCAAACATGTTGCATGTCTTTTAGGTTACAAGAGCGGACTATCTTGGTGGAAGGACAGCTCTCCATTTGGCCGCACTAAATGGACATGTACGATGTATAAGGCTTGTAGTGGCTGATTTTGTCCCAAGTACTCCTTTTGAATCTGTAAACGCTCAAACAAATGGTGATCGAGGTGACAATTCCAATATAAAAAGCAGACATGATGAAAGGTTTGTGATCTATTCCCACTCCACATGGTCCCCTTTTCTTTTTTTTTGCCATAATGTAATTCACAGCGAAAGTATATGTTAGCAATGGAGGATGAATTAAGGCATCTCAGACATGTCCAACAAGACAATTAGTTGTCTACTTGAGAAGGTATGACATGATATAGGTTGAAGCCATTGTAAGGATGACTGGAAGAATGGCTGAGGTAGTGGGAAAAAAAACTTTGCGTTATGTTGAAAAGGATTAAGTTTATCATTAGATTTGTTTCTTTTGATGATTATCAGAACTGCTTTTTAAGGTTGAGAAGAGAGCCCAGTTGACTGATATGGTCGAAGTTATCACTCAATTTTGTGGAGCAAAACAATTAGCCTTCGCTAAGTTTTTGCCAGCAGCAATATAGCTTGGATAACATTTGTTGGACTGGTTCTCAAAGAAGCATTTTTGATAAGCTGAAATATGCCAATAACAATGATCTTTGTATGCTAAAGAGTCACTTGTGTGTGCCAAAATTATCCAACAAAACTATTTTTTCATTTGTTTGATTAATTTATTCTGTTGCAGTCCCCTGTCCAAGTTTGTGAATAAGGCAGCTGATGGTGGTATCACTGCTCTTCATATGGCTGCATTGAATGGATATTTTGACTGTGTACAGCTCCTCCTTGATCTTCAGACAAATGTATCAACTGTGACATTTCAATATGGAACGTCAATGGATTTGATAGGTGTGTTGGGGACTTGAGAATTTGTTTTATTATTAGTAGCTGTGCGTTAACTGAATTCATATGGAATGACTGCATTATTTTGTAGGAGCTGGAAGCACTCCCTTGCACTATGCTGCTTGTGGTGGTAATTTGAAATGCTGTCAGGCAAGGATTAGTTTATATTTATTGATCTTCTGACATTTTCAAGTTCTATTTAGCTTGAAATGTTGACGTTCATATATTGCAGATCCTCCTTGCAAGAGGTGCCAGTAGGTTGACATTAAACTGCAATGGGTAATATAAAGTCAAGTGCTTTTCTGGTGTTCAGCCTTTGACTGCTTCACATTGCTATTATTGCTTGTCTTTGTGCAAATGTGTGATGGAAATATGTACTCTTCCAGGTGGCTTCCTCTTGATATAGCCAGAATGTGGGGGCGTCATTGGCTTGAGCCATTGCTGGCTCCCAATTCTGAGTCTGCAATTCCAGTGTTTCCTCCTTCTAATTATTTATCTTTGCCTCTCATGAGTGCACTTTATATAGCAAGGTATTTTTTTCCCTTACCCTGGTTTTACAGCAATTGTAGTTTGCTTCATATTCATTTTTCTGTCCAAACATTGAAAACTTAGAAAGCACACTGTGCACTCTCTTTCCAGAGGTTAGATGTTGCAGCATTCCAAGTTGTATTTGTCCGAATGTTCATATTCTAAGGGAACCTTGGTTTGTTGAGATATGTGAAGATGGCAAACCTGCTTATGCATGTTAAAGATTCCAGCTTTGTGTTGAGCTAAGGTCTTGGAATCTAAAGTAAACTGTGGAGGCTTGTCAAAGTTTATGATAAGTATTGATAAAGTTTTCCTAATTTGTAGACTTTCCAACAGAATTACCTCAACTGGGTTACAATAAAGTTGTTCTAACTTCATATTGAATATTAAAAAGTTCAAAGCATGATTGTGCTTTTCGAGTGTCATATGAAGGTAGTTTGACCAGCATGATGAAAATTTTGTTGTGTGGGAAATATAATTTATAAAATAATGGAATGAGCACCAAGAATAATATCGTGACAATTCCCTGCAGAGAATGTGGGTTGCAGTGCTCAGCAACCTGTTCCAATGATGCTGATACTTGTGCTGTTTGCCTGGAGAGACCATGTACCGTAGCTGCTGAAGGTATGCTCTTTCTTTCTCTTATGTTATTTCCAATTCACCTATTGTCCCATCATCCACCATGATTTGGTTTTGTGTGCTTTAACTTTCTCTAGCTCTCATGTGATGGACATATATTTCATTTTGTTGGTCTCTGCTGCATGAAGTTTGGAAAAATAGTTCTCTTTGGTTGTCTTATTCTTTTTTTTCCAGTCAAACACTTCCTCCCAATTAACAGGGAAGATACTCATATAGTATTTTTTTTCCAAATGAGAGAGCGAGAGTGAGTATTGCTATTATGTTCACAATTAAGTGCATTGAAGATATTTGTACCTTGATTTATTTTTTCCAGGTTGTGGGCATGAGCTTTGTGTAAGATGTGCACTCTACCTTTGCTCAAGTAGCAACATTCCTTTTCAGTTATTGGGTCCCCCTGGGTGCATTCCATGCCCTCTTTGCCGACACGGCATTGTCTCTTTTGTCAAATTGCCAAGTTCTCCAGCAAAGGAAATGAAGTTATCTCTCTCCCTTGGCTTATGTAATCCATGCATGCTTCATCCTCGGGAACCCAACAGATCAACACCAGCTTGTACACCGGAGATTCAAAAGAATTGCGTGGCTTCTGTTTCCTCTGATCTTTTCTGTCCAGTCACTTGTAGCCCATTTCCTTCTGTTGCCATCCCTTTATGCACCTGCAATGATGGACCGTGTCCTTCTTTTGAACCCAGAGAGGGTGAAACACAAGATGAATCTCCTCATCGCTCACAATCCACACTAACAGATCCTGATAAACTGCAAGGAGTAAGACTTGAGAAAACAACCTGTTCAAGCATGTTTTGGGGCAGAAGAAGCGGCACAAGGGAGCATCAATGCAATGCCGAAATAAATGCTTGACTAGTTTGGTGACAGATCTTATGCTTGTTGCCTTGAGGAAGGAATGTTGATAAAACAGTGCAGTCATCAGCTTCAATGTTTCATTCCGCTGCTACCCAACACTGTTCTTCCACGTTCGGTTCTGTTTGACTTGCTGCAAGATAATGGATCCAGGGGTCTGGAGTACTGCATTTTGATCACGTTCCAGGTTGCTCAACAACGGTGTGTGAGTGTTGAAGAAGATTTGATTGCAAGCAAATGTCATCGATTGGCTGACACTTTTTCTTTGTTATTTTGGGTTCATTTATTGATGATTTGTGAATGTTCTTCTTTTTATTGAAAGAAGAGACTTATCGGCAGCTATGAAGATTTGGTTTTTGTGTGTATCCGAGGCTTAACAGATTTGCAATCTATAGTTTTCCCAAAACAGAAGATGTGGAAGGGTTTTGTTTGGTCTGCATTTTAAAAATTAATATTTGAAAATTAATTTTGAGAAGGGTTTTAGAAAATTGGTGTTTTTGTATTTTTTATGTTGCGGAACTTGTTTGATTATATAATTTTAAAAATAGTTTTATAAAATAAAAAATAATAAACTTATTTAGACAGTAATCTAAAAAATAATTAAAATAAAAATATGATTGCGATATTTTCTAAATTTTGGAAAAATTATTTTTAAAAATACACAAAATAGTCGTAACTTTTTCTCTAAATATACCAACTTTTTGTTCTCAATTTTCAAAAAACAAAAACAGGTCAAACAATTTTTTTTTCTAGAAACTGGTTTTAAAAATAGAAAATACATTTTCTGAAATACAAACTAGATAGTGTTTTATGTTCCGTTTAGTAGAGAGGATGAAAAATAAGAAGAATGAAAAGTAAGAGGGATACACTTTCTATCCTTCAAAGATAGAAAGTAGGAAGAATATATTTTCTTTCTTTTGTGTTTGGTTGGATGGATGGAAAATAAAAATGACTATTTTTTTTTGTGCTGGCTAAATTAGGGGTGATAATAGAGTCAAGTCGTGTCGTGTCGGATTCGTGTTAAGTCATTACGAGATTGTGTTAAATATTAGTCAAACCTAATTTAACATTTAACTTGTGTCGTGTCGAGTTAATCTATTTATTTTTGTATCGAGTTCGAGTCGTATTATAGTATTGAGTCAAAAATTTTCACCATTAGTTAAAATGAAAAAAAAAAAATTAATTTTAATTTTTTTTTTTGTTAAAATTAATTTTTAAAATTTTTTAAAATATTTATACATATTTTACCATTGTATTTTTATATGAAATTAATGTATACATAAGATATATAGATAAATAAAATATATCTCAACACAAATAATTAACTTTCCATCCAATTTTGGAGAGATTAATTTTGGTGAGTTAAAAAGAAAATTAATTCATGTACTTTTGTATCGTTGCTAATTTCTTTCCTTACTAAACATGATATTTTATTTATTCCTCCAACTTTTCATTCTCCCACTTTTTCATTGTATCAAACGGAGCATAGTATTTGTAGATTCAATCCACAAATGAGACATAAAAATAACATAGAATTAATGGATTCAAAATTATTCTATGCAAGTTTAGGTAAATAAATGAATAAACGTTCGTTTAACGAGTTTAAGAATTATTCATCTCAAGCACCAAAACCTTTAAGATAAAAAAAAAAAAAGTCATTAATAATTAGTTCATCACGTGACAATTGTAAAATTTGGGCATATATGTAGATTCCGGAATAAAAAAAAAGTAAAAAAAAAAAAAGATAATCCTTTTACAACCTAGAAAAGCAAAAAAGTCCAAGAAGCTTCTTGACAATGGTCCCCACAAAGGTTTTGCTACCCCCAAGGCACGTGACCCATTCGGCACGTGCCTCAAATCGTGCGGACCCTCTCCTATCTGATTGGTTCATCAGTCTAACCTAACTCCGTCAACCAACTGTCAATTACACCCTCCTCCCTGATCATGCTGGTGCCATTGCCTTCACCGTTGCGAATGATCAGACGGCTCTGATTTCACGCCACTAATTCCAGGTTGCCGCAGCCGTAATTCCTGGTCCTGCTCCGCCATCACACCTTCACTTTGCCTAACTCGTTTCGAACCAATGGCCACACCGAACAATCTCGCACTCGTTTCCTCCGGTTCGGTCGGAATATTCTGCCCGGCGATGATCTCTGATTCGGAGTAAAATCTCTTCGCCGGCAGAAGATCAAGCGGTTTCACCGCCTCAGAACTGCTCTCCGGTTGTTCGTTATTAGGGTTTGAGTAATTCGACATCAAAGAGTAGATATTGCCGCATAAATTCTTCATTTGGCTCAACTCTTTGTTTAGCTGCTGGTTCTCTTTTCGCAATCTCTCGTTTTCTCCGACCAGCTCGGCTGTGCTTCCACATACTGTTTCCCGGACAGTTGCCGGCGAAGAATTTGATGACATGACTTGTTCTTCGCCAGAATCCGCCGGAGACGCAGTCCGCGTGTGCGGAACTGATACCGCCGAAGCGACCGCCACTATCGACGTTACTGCCGTAGCAATTTTCCGACGCTGTATCTCGCACAAAAGCCGTTTTTCGCCTTTACGAAAGCATTCGTTTGAAAATTCCCATCGATCAGGTACAACCTTTCTAAATCCCTATAAATTCCAAAAAAATAAAAAATAAATTAATAAATTAATTAAAAGTCTTAATCAGATCACGTAAATTCGATGAATTGTGAGTATCTAGATGATTAGGCTTACATATGTGTTGAGTTGACGAACGAAGCTAGAGAAATTGTTGTGTTTGAAATACTTTGGAAGCAAATCTTTGGCGAATTCGGTTGGATTCCAGACGATGAAGGTAGATCCATCTTCGTTCCACGAGATGACATCGTCGATGGTATGGTCATCGACGAGCTGGTATGTTTTGGTCAAAAACGGCGTCGGAAGAGATCTAGGCGTATCTCCAGCCATTAATTCTCCGCCGTTTCGCTCCTCCGGTGGCGGAGCCATCACATCTCACCTAATCTAAACCAAAAAATCACAACTTTACGTTTAGAAAACAATGGCCTTGATGTAAAAATTTTACAAAACAAAGCAAACAAAACATTGGAACGAAAACTCGTACCTAGAAAGAGGTAGACGAAACGGTTGAGGCAGATCTGCGTAGAGAGACAAGGGTTGGCCGGAGTCTGTGCGGTTTTGGTAATTCTAGAAGGTTCGTGTGGGACATAACATGATGGAGAAAAAGAACAGATAAGAGAGAGAGAGAGAGAGAGAGAGAGAGAGAGAGAGAGAAATTTCGAGGAATTGGTGATAGAGAAAGGAAAAGGAAAAGGAGAATAGGATTGTAGAAGGAAAGGAAAGAACGAGAAGCTTTTACGTTTCTTATGTCTTTTCGAGAAGTTTCCCTTTCCCTAATTCTTTTATACGTGTCAGTTGATAAGTGGGAATAAGATCAAGTCATTAATTTGTGGCACCAATTCAAAGACCAGTATGTCGTTTTGAACCCTTCAAGTCTGCTATTGTTTTCACAAACTAACCCCTGTTTTTATTGTGTTTTAGACTTTGATACTCCTAGTCCGCCTTCATCTTCTGCTAAGGACTAGGGCAGGACACATTGCAAATAAGGCCCTCTGAATCTTAAGACTGTTTTTTTTAAATGGGTAAGGGTGTTCGAATTAATTTATGTATATTTTGATTAATTTTTATTCTAATTTAATCAAAAAATAAATGTCTCATGACTTAAACCTTGAACTTATAAGTTAGTCCAAAATTATGAACTCCAGATATCCATAAACGATATTTTTTTTATTATTATTCAATGATTTATCTTCGTCAAAAATCTCATGTATCACTACTGCATGAATGATAAACTTAAAATAAGAACAAACTCTTACCTCTTAATAGGAATTGACCTCTGAGCACTTGGTTGGAATCATCAACGGTGACCAACTTAGATTGGACCACATTAATTTCATGATATTCATACATGTGCATCTCTATAGGCTACTGGCACCAAGCTCAAATGCTTAATTTGAAAGCTTGCTGTGTAGTTACACAAAGAAAGAGAATCTCTCCGGATTGCTCAATCACTTGGTGTTTTTTTTGCTCATTAAAAAGGTGAAAGGTGGAGGAGCGATCATTGGAGTAGATAGATAAGGGTGAAATATTCGGTTTAAACTATAATTACTAAATTAAAGAAAGACAATTCGTCTATACAAAATCATTAAATTCAAATAACAAACTATTTTACCCGTGAATTTATAACTACGACACAAATGTTAAACATGTGTAATTATTTACCTAGCTAGCGTGTGTGCTAAATTCAAAGTCCTATAGGTATAGGTATAGGTATAGGTTCAGGTTCAGGAGTCGTCCCTCCCTCGTTGTGATTTGATTGAATACCCCTATTGACAAGAAGTTGCTTTAGATCCATCTTTTTGAAGTTTGAAGCCCTTCTTGACTTGAATAACGTTATGGAGTTGCCAATTTCAATTTGTAATGCTAAAGTTGTTTGGTGTCACTTTCTCTTGTTGTTCAAACTCATCGTAGTCATTGTCTTAGCGTGAACAAAAGATGCCCATAACTTTAGCATAATACAAAGATTCATCGACTGTTCGTATTAATCTGAGTAATTAAACACAAGATTATTTTATGTAACTAGTTACTTGTCTGCCCCTATAATAATGGTACGTACCATTGGTAATATACTAGTAAAAAATGATTAACTACTAGATCATCATCAATTTTGTATGCCAGCTAATTTGTCTGGCACTTTTCTGTCTTATGAGTATAATATAAAAAATAAAATATATATATTTATCCTATCAGCAAACAAATGTTCTTGTTCAAGGATGGCTGTGAAAGAGTTGCCAACCGCACAATGAAATGGAATGTGCATGGTTTTGTTCGCCTCATTGTTACAGAGACGATACACTTAGACAATTCCAAATAATGACCTAAATTATTTTCCTTTTTATTTCTCCCTTTTGGCATGGGACATTTTCTAGATGGTACAAAACAGTCTTAACATACAACAAAGGGCAGGATGTACAAAATCTATCAATGCTATAGGGAATCATTCTCATCCAAACAGCCATCCCCCCCCCCCCCCCCCCCCTCTAAATGGGGCCCATATCTATCCCATTCCTCTAGAAATTTTTTCAATCATTCGTGTTAGCTTTGAAGCACAAGATGTTTCAATATTTTTGCCTAATCCTATCCAAAAATAAAAAGAAATTCTAGTAATGAAAACATCGAAAACAGACTACCTTGTATGTTTATCAGCAACCTTTTGCACATTACCACATGTTTTCAGTGCAGTTTATGCAAATTATATACAGAGTTTCTAGCATTTATGAAAGGTGTATAATTTATTATGGTTGGAAAATAGTCAACAGATTACACAGAGAAAATGAGAAATAGAAAAAAAAAAAAAATGATCCTCTGTATTAAAAGTAGAAGAAGACAACATACAATAGGAGCTTTTATAAGAAACAATGACCTAATAACCACAGCAGATGGGCAATCTCACTCAGAATTCTTTGGCTAAGAAAAAGATAAATGCTGAGATAAAAAAGAAAACCGCTCTAAAAACTGAAACACCATGCTTTATTTCAGTCAAATCAGTGTGTGCATGCCCGTACATTTCATCTGTTTTCCTTAATTTATTTGTTCAGAAAAATCCATAAAAGTAAACAAAACCCATCACCTGTAACAATCCCGAGCAGCAGCCAGCTTTCAGCAAATTACCCTATGCTGCAGAGGTATAGGAAATGAAGATATAGAGATTCCCAGGTTTCTCTAATCCAATGTCCCCACAAGGAATGAACAGCTGCTAATCCTTTGGTCGAACAGAATTACACCACAAATAAGCAAAGAGAAATCCTTGTAGTCTTTCCATTTGACAGTGGTCATATGCAAATTCATTTAAATCATCTATTTCAAGGTGCATTCAGAGTACAGAGAGGGATGACAGTCTACAAGTGGTGTTCTTTTTTTAAATTGGCAAGCAGTTTAAACAGAATCGAGTTGAAGAGGCAGAAATTGAAACAATACAGAATTAACTCAAAAGAGACATTGGCCAAGGCATAAAGGGTTGATTGAGGAAGGTAAGTTGGAAACTACCTGCTTCACTTTGTACCATTAAGGGGATTGTGCATTTAGATGAGGGAAATCAACTAGGAACACGAAGGTTTGATTAGGGAAATAGGTGTAACAGTTTCCAGCAGGAGTCAATTAACGCAATTGAACACCAAAGCTTGACGAACTGCCCCTGGAAGAAGGACTAATAAAATGATACATGAGAAGACAAGTTTTGAAAAATTCTGCAGTTGACATCAGCTCCAACAAACTGATGCCCCGGTGATGTCTCAAGGCTATCACTCTGAAATTTCTACTCGTGACTTAAATTTTAGTGATCTAGTTAAGAACTCCCTAATCCTATTAGTCAGCTCTCATATTTTCTAAAGCAGACAGTTTGAGTTCCTCAATAGACAAAATATAACCCACTGAAAATTCAGTAATTTTTTATAATAGAAATAAATTCAATCCTAAATTTCTTACACTGACAACAAATTAAAAACTTCCAGTTGTGAGACTTTTCAAAACACCAAGATAGAGCGAATAAAGTCTAAATTTTTCCCCAATCATCAAGGATAGGAAATCGAACCACTCTCAAAATGCGAAAGACATTCTGATCCTAAAGAGCATTATCATGATGCATTTTTAAAGCATTGACCTTTGCTAGTTTTGAACTCACAGCACTATGGGATTTTACCTATGAGACTCATACAAGACATTATCAGATTTAAATGTACACACATTCAAGAATTGCCGAGATATTGATGCAATCACCCCATAGATCAACCCACTTTGTTTGGAATACAAGTCTGGGTTATAAGAATCATCAAGTAGCCATGGGACAAGTTTACACAGAATAGTGCCATATTTTTGAAAATTCTTGTCTCGATCTTCTCACCTTAATGTTATTCTGCGGAAGCCAAGAATTTTAACTTCGACTGTTGACCAGGTTATAATCACAATGAATATCCTCATACCATGTTCTATTAGACGAGTATATACAAGACCAGCAAAACAACTTAACCCTCAATTATGACTATAAAAAAAGAAAGTGAATGCAGAACGTTTATGCCCATCAATTCAGTTTCCAGGTATACTAACCTAAATTAGAAATATATATCCCTTCAAGCATTTATAGTATTGCCTTTGGTAAGCTACAAGTTTGATTCCATATTAAAAGCATAGTTAACAAAAGAGATCAAGAACCAAACTTGGAAAAATGGTAAGAAGGCCAAAAAGTTAAACAGTGCCGGAAAATTTCTACTCGGCAATCAAAAACAAGGAGAGGGTACCTATACAAGTACAACACTCCAAATCATACAGAAGTCGAACTGGATAGCTGTATTTTGAGAACTTGGAAGCAAAGTCATCATGAAAGATAGAGAATGCCACGTCGATAGAGAGCGAGGATTGTTGAAGTAAACATGGCCCAAACAAGGACAACCCACCAAGCCACAAACAAAGCTACTTCTTTAACCAAACCAAAGTTATCAGCAATTTGAGATAAGCCAAGAAAGAGAAGTACCAGTGCAGGCGGTGCAAAAAACTGCAAAACTACAAGACAAAGGTAGTGATTGTGCAGAAAAACCTTTGCCCTACTGTAATCCAAGTCCGGAAACTTGCTGGCATGCAATCTCTGATACCAACACAACATTGCTTCATTCAAGAACATTTGTACATTCGGACGCAAAGTCACAATTTGTAAAATACCCGAAACCAACAAACACCAGAGCCTAAATTTATCAAGATCAGATCTCGACAAGCCCATGTTTCCAACCAACTTCTCAGCATCTATAACAGTACCATTGAATTGTGATCCTTTCCTACCATCAATATTCTTGTTAACAAGGATATCAGCAAATGGATTAATCCAAAGCAATGAAGTGAACACAGTGAATAAATAGTTGGCATAAAGAAGCATTCTTGCTATCCATCCACATGAAATTATTGACAAATTACAACGAATCTGATCTGTTCCAAGCCAAAATGCCCTGGCATTCCTTGACGCCGGCATATACAAAAAACCAGCAATGCAGCCCATAAAAACAGCAACTGAAAACTTCCCCAACCCATCCAATGATCCAAACCCAAAATCAAGAAGCCAATAAGGAGCAATTTGAAAAACAATAGTTAGCCCTAACAAAAACCCCAAGACACCCAATATAAAACTCAGTTCCTTCTCCGACCTCCTGGACGCAGACCTTTCCAATGAAACCCTAGCAATCAATATTGAAATTTTACCAACACCCGCAGACCCTAACAAAATTGGAACTATAGACCCATTTGCCAGAACCCCCGAATCTTTAGATACAGGCAAAAAATTCTGCAGCAATAAGCAAGAAGCGGCCACAATTATAACATAGAAAGTTCTAGAAAACTCATTGCAATAGAGCCGGGACTGGAGGTGACTGTCATTGAGCTTTAGTCTAAAGATCTGGGCTTTGCTTTCGTCAAACTCGAATTTTTCTTTAGATTTTTTCCTGGGTTTGAGCTCAGAGTCAAGCATACCTGGCCTACGAATCGCAGCTCTAACACCCTGTTGAGAATTACTGGTGGGGTTGACATCATCTGGGTGGATGTAAGTGTTGAGGCCATGAAGGAGGAGAGTAGGGATTTTGAGGAACCTGAGGATTAGAGTGAGGGAGAGAGAGAGTGACGCGTGTAGTATGAGATTGCTGGCTGAGGAAAATATTGATGAAGTCATGATCTTCACGGCAGAAACTCAACTCTCTGTGAAGGATGTTTTAGATGGTGATGCTGAGGAGGACAAATGCAACCAAAAGACATATCAGATCTGGAATGGTATTCTTGGATTCGGAAGGTTTTCGCTTCTCTAGATCAAGGGTTGATTTGTTGATTTTTTTTGAGAAGTTTAGATTCACTTGGGTTAATCTCATTTTACACTCCGAAAGATTCTCCCTCAAAGATCAAAAATTTCAATTTACATCCTCAAAGATAGAAATTTGTATTAATGTGCACCCCAAAGATCAAAAATCTCAATTTGCACCCTCAAAAATAGAAATTTATATCAATGTGCACCCCAAAGATAAAAAATCTCAATTTGCACTCTCAAATATAGAAATTTGTATCATTATGCACTTAAAACTAAATTGATAAATTATACCTAGATCTCCTCATGTTTGTCACTTAATCATTTGAACCTCTTTACATTTAGAATATTACTCCTACATCTCATAACATTTATGCACGTACAACATGTAACTCATTTTCATTGATATCTGTTAATATAACCGTTAAAAAATATAATTTTATCCTAATAAAAAATTATAATTTCATATTACCCTTATTTTATGGGTCGAATATACTCTAAAATTCAAAATCAAGCTTACCATTTGAATGTCTAATAAAATGTAGATATTTATATAATATTTTTTATATTTTCCTTTATATAAATATCTACATTATATTAGACATTCAAATGGTAAGCTTGATTTTGAACTTTAGAGTATATCGAATCCACAAAATAAAAAGTAATATAAAATTATAATTTTTTATTAGGATAAAATCATATTTTTTAACGATTATATTAATAGATATCAACGAAAAGTGGTTATGTTTACACATGTACAAACGTCATGAGATGTAGGGGTAATATTCTAAATGTGAAAGGGTTCAAATGATTAAGTGACAAACACGAGGGGATCTAGGTATAATTTATCAATTTAATTTTAGGTGCACATTAATACAGATTTATATCTTTGAGGGTGCAAATTGAGATTTTTGATCTTTGGGGGTGTACATTGATACAAATTTCTATCTTTGAGGGTGTAAATTGAAATTTTTGATCTTTGGGGGTGCAAATTGAGATTCGAACAATCTTTCAGGGTACAAAATAAGATTAACCCAAATTTGTTTAAACTCAAAGATGGAATTTAATTGTTTATACTCATATTTGTTATCCATTCGGAGATATGATTATTATAATAATATATTTATAAATAAATAACTATTATATCTCTTAACTAATTTAATTTAAACTCGTGTTTGTTTAAATATATGGGATATATAGAGGTTTAAATATTATTTGTTAACTTAAGTTCGTTAATCCACGTATGAAACCCAGTCACCAGTGAGTTTCATGAAACCCATGAAACTGGGTTTAATTTTCAAGTCTAATACGGATCGAGTTTTAAACCCTAAATTAATTATGCATTTACAAAAAATGAGATTGGTAGATTTTATTTCCCAATCCATGTTCCAAAATTCACATATTAAACAGGCTCAAGTGTTCAAGTCCCCATCTCCTCCCCTCCCCACTCCACCCCAAAAATAAAAAAAAAACTTGTCCATTTGGGATTTTCCTAGAGAAGTGCTCTTTGGGTCTATTTGGTAAAGGGATACGAGGGATTTGGTAAGATGAATTTGAGAAAAATAGTCCAAAATTGCCCTAAATCCCATGTTTGTTTAAAAAATTCAATCTCAAATTTTTAAAACCGGCCTGTAGTTGGCCCAAAAATTAAACTCATGATCATGAGTTTCGTCAAACCTAGGGAAAGAGTGCGTTTGGGAAGATGGGTTAGGGATTAAGGATCCAAATAATAATTGTACTCCTTAACATGGGCATAAATTGGATCAAATATGTATGTGTTACATACCACACATGGTTATGAATCGAATTAAATGTTGAATCTTATCTTTACAAAAAACAATTTAAGTTTAAAAAAATTAATTCAAACCCCACTCTAAAATTCATCCAAACAAGCCATTTATGTTTAGATCCTCCTTGAACCTACTGGGTCCTTTGTCATTGGACTTTGGGTTGATATTTCAGGATGGTTAACAAAATGAGTCTAGTAGACACGAATCTGGGCTCGAGTCTAAACATGAATACAAATTCATGCTCTGTCTAGTAAAACTCACCAAATTGCATTCAGCCCACATTTGGAAAAGAAATTTATAGCGCGAAACGATTAAAAATAAAAAAAAATCAATTTTCAAAAATTAAGGGCACGAATTAAGAGAGCACAAATGTCAAAGAAAAATCCTAAAATTCAAATTATGTACTTAAACACAAATAAGAACTAAAATTCAAATTATGTGCTTAAACACAAATAAGAACTAAAATTAAAGACTTTTTTTACTACATTTTTTTTGCATACTTTTTTACAATTAACTCTACAAATACAAGGTTTCAAATTTTGAAATTCAAATAAAATGATATATCCTAAAACTATGAGATGTTTAATACACAAATGTAATTTGAAAAAAGAACTATTTTTAAAAAAAATACGCATGAATCAAGGAAGAACATAAAGATCATAAGAAAATCTAAAAATTTCAAATACTGTACTTGAACATAAATAAGTATCAAAATTAAAAATTTCTTTATTACTTCATTTTTTTACTGTTAATTCTAATTTAGTGGACCCCTTCCAATTTTCCCATATGGGTTATAAAGGTCGTTCGATAACAAAAAAACTCGAATGAATTTTATTTTCTAAAAATCTCTAGGATTTTGTGTATCATATTATATCCAGACTACACTAAATTTATCCATCAGTCCCAATCAAAGAGGCTAAGTGGAGGAAATGGAGAATAGGAAGATAATCAATCACCAAAATGGACAAAATCTCAAACAGTTATTTGCATAGTTTAAGTCACATCCAATTTGGATGACATTTGTGCGTGCAAGATCCTGCACAATATAAAAAACGAGAACAGATCTCTCTCTTGATGAGCTTCGAGTGAGCCGGTTGAGTGACCAAACACGCTGCTTGGGGCAGCCTGCAAGGTACGGTGGTAACCTGGAACGGCAACGGGAGACTCTGGGAAAGGAAGAACGATCCTGTAAGGCTGAAAGAGGTTCCTGGAACAAAGAAGAACAAGTTAGAAGGGCGCCGGAGTGTTTTTCGGCGTATCCCCTCCGACGATCTAGTCAGTCTTTTAGAAAGAGAGAGGAAGGAGAAAACACTGAAAATGTATCGTAGTAGAGAGTTTGTTGTCGCATACCCGCTTTGCCTTATGCAAGGAGTATTTATACTTTAAAAGCTCATGATTGCTGTCAGTGTGGTCAGTAGGTGATCATTAGGCACAGGTAGCGTGTGCATTGATTCTGATGAGGAATGTCTTCTCTAATTAACTGCTCGGGGTCCCGAGCAATCAACGCTGGATCATCGGGATGCCGACGATACAATGTGCTCCTATCGGGGAGGATGCAATAAATGCTCTGTAATAGGAGCATTTATTGCCTTTCATTTCCGAGCCTTACCGCATTGAATGCGGTCTCATCAAGGGAATGGTGCAATTAATTGTTTGCTTTCCCAAGTTGCGTGTCAGCAACGACATGCGGTTTGTCTGTCTTTGATGTGATATCATATGCCACGCGTCCATCCCCTATTGGCTGTGACCTCTGTATTCCAGTACGTTCTGACATTTACTTGTGTAAGACGAGGTCATGATGAATAGCCTAGGCTAATGACCTGTACGTCAATAGCTTATCCTAAAGTAGAGGAAGCGTCCAGGACGGGGGTACCTCTCGGCACCAAGGGAGGTATACCGACCGAGGTACATATCTGACCGAGGACACGTGTCGGTTGTAAATTATACTGAATGTATGATCCTATATGACGGTACCTCGGGGGCGAGGACATTCGTGCGCCGATGGTGTTTGATCTTAGCAACAGTGCTTTAGTAAAATCGAGGACACGTGTCTTCATCATAGCGTATTTCAGAAAAGTCCCATCAACTGCCCCCCAGCCTTCGATCTTCTGACACCGAGGACACGCGTTGTAAGGAGACGAAGGGTTTCCCAACTACCACCCGTCCTTCATCATTGTCTCGAGCCGCTTTCCCCGGCTTGGGATGTCGTGCGCATTTAATGCGCCGTTTTATTTTTCGTGTCCAATGATGAAAATTGCCTCTATATAAAGGGGGCTCCTCTTCCGTTTTCCTCGTTTTGCCATTTTGAACTTCCTCAAAAGAGCCTCTTCTTGAATCTTCGCCGGAGTTTTGTTTCTTCTTCCATCGTCGACTGTCTGTTCTTCCTTAAAATCTTAAAGCCAGTAGACCCATCGTTGATTCTGAACTTTCCGGAGGGAGTCGCTTTAAGGTTTTTCAGAAAGAACTCCGTTTTGACATTCGGGTGAGTTTCAGAATCCTTTTTCTTTTCTTCCTCCTAGCCTTTTGTTTTCCGACTGACTGGAGGTGTCATCCGGTTGATACACAACGATTTAACCCTCGGGAAACTTTTTCAGGGATTTTCAAGAACAAATACCCTCTTCTTTCTTACTTTCTTAGAGATGCCTCGTCGTCGCCCTGCTCCCGAGAATCCTCAGGCTGGTCCTTCGGGGTCGGGAAAATATAAGGTAAAAGGCGATGAGCAGATCAATAGGTTTAGGGCCAAGTACGGCATTCCTCCGTGCGTAGACGTAGAGGATTATGACCCGGTGGTGCACTCTTCTACCCTCGGGGCCGAGGATGCCATGCCCTTCTATACTAAGGCCATAATAGAGGGAGGAATTAGGTTTCCTTTACCCCCCTTACTCCTTCAGTTCCTTTCTCATTTCCGCCTCTTCCCCGGGCAATGTTGCCTTAATGTTTTTCGAATAATTATGGGGGTCTTAGAGCTCAATAGGCGCCTCGGGGTAAATATTGGGCTCAACAATATCTTTTTTGTTATTCCCTCCTGAGAGTCATGCCTCACCAACACTTCTACCTCAAAGCCAGGGACCCCTCCATGTACCTTGTAACTCATCTTCCGGACTCGAACAAGGGGTACAAGGATGATATTCTTATCTTCAAGGGATCTTGGCCGAGAGGTGTTGGTCCCGAGTACAATGACTTACTATGCCCTCTGGAATGGAGAACGACAAGTACGTCG